GCTGCAGGAGACAAATGCTGAGGGCTTAAAGAAACTTAAAGAGCCATAAAATGAGAATGGAAACTCACTGGTTCTGAAAATGAACCAGGAACAGAAGCTTGCCCGGAGGCCTTACCAAAAGGTCCACTGGTGAACCAACTCACCCACACTACCGACAGCTCAATCAAGAGCAAGAGAAAACCAAGTCTTAACCCGAGGGTTTTCTCATGTGGGTTGAAATTAACCATCCGGGGCAACTATGGGTTCCCAAAAGTTCTCACACACAAAGTCCTCTCCAAATCCTCCTCTCCAGTCCTCTCAATCCGTCTCTCCCTCAGTCCTCTCCTTCAGCCTTCTTTCAGTCCTCTCCGTCCTCTCTGTTCTCCTCGTCATGCAGTGCAGCGCTGATTTTATCTGCTCCAGCCGGGGGATTTTCTGATGTGCATCAGCTGCGCGAGTGTGGCCGGGTGCTCTCCAGGGTGCTGACCATGGTGCTGAAAAGGAGCGGAGTAGAAGCCGGGCGCTGGGGAACTCAGGGATCGTAACATGCATCTTGTCAGTCATTATCACGTGACAGTGACTAGTCGATGACAGGCATAAAAAGTCACTACAGAGCCGTTAACTTATTTATATGTTTATAGCATCTTGACCAACTCCACAGAGGATAGAAGATAACATACATGCTTACTCCCAACATCTGTTCAGGTCAAAACATGTTATATTCAATTCAAGTTCAATTCAAGTTTATTTATATAGCGCCAAATCACGACAAGAGTCGTCTCAAGGCACTTCACATAATAAGCATTCCAATTCAGGTCAGTTCATTAAGCCAATCAGAAATAATGTTTCCTATATAAGGAACCCAGCAAATTGCATCAAGTCACTGACTAGTGTCAGTGACTTTACAGCAATCCTCATACTAAGCAAGCATAAAGTGACAGTGGAGAGGAAAACTCCCTTTTAACAGGAAGAAACCTCCAGAGAATCCTGGCTCAGTATAAGCAGCCATCCTCCACGACTCACTGGGGATCGAGAAGACAGAGCAGGCACACACACACACACATACACACACACACACACACACACACACACACACACACACAGACAAAGTAATGTGTCTATAGTTATATTGTGATGCCTTAGTAAATATTCTATTTGGTGAGAGATAAACTTTATTGTATTTATCCTATTGGATCTATAATTAAATGGATAAACTAGTAGTAGCACATCCAACATCAAGGAAAGAAAAAAGTTATTATCAGGAGAGGGAGAATGTTTTAGTGGTTAGCAGCAGTGTGCTAGATGGTGGCCCCCTCCATGAGGCCACCACAGCTCAGCAGAACATCATTGTAGCTTCTTCTGGGGAGAAAAACACTTAGAGAGAAAATAAAGTTAACAGCTGAAATTGCAGAAAATAATACAGTTAAAGAGCAGATTGTAGAAGAAAGCAGTAGAGTATGAAAAGTGGTCAGTGTATCCTCCAGCAGTCTAAGCCTATAGCAGCATAACTACAGAGATAACTCAGGATAATCTATCCTATTTAGATGGAGGCATGTTGGAGGCAGGGCAAGGGAGAGCCGTCTTTACCGACTGTACACTCCACCTCCCTCTACTTCCCCACTTGTCCAGATCTAGGCTAACATCAGATTTTAACCATAGGCCCTATCAAATAAAAATGTTTAAAGCCTATTCTTAAAAGTAGACAAAGTGTCTGCCTCACAGACTAAGGCTGGGAGCTGGTTCCAGGAGCCTGATAACTAAAAGATCTGCCTCCCATTCTAATTTTAGATATTCTGGGAACCACCAGTAGACCTGCAGTCTGAGAGCGAAGTGCTCAGTTAGGAACATATGGATCAATCAGATCACTGATGTATGATGGAGCTTGATTATTGAGAGCTTTATATGTGAGAAGAAGGATCTTAAAATCTATTCTGAATTTAACAGGTAGCCAATGTAGGGAAGCTAAGACAGGAGAGATATGATCTCTCTTTTAATTCTCATCAGAACTCTAGCTGCAGCATTTTGGACAAGCTGAAGACTTTTAACTACATTCTGTGGACTTCCTGAGAGTAATGAATTACAGTAATCCAGTCTTGATGTAATAAATGCATGAACTAGTTTTTCAGCATCACTCCTGGAAAGGATGCTTCTAATATTAGCAATATTCCGAAGGTGGAAAAAGAAAATCCTACAAACCTGTTTAACCTGGGATTTGAATGACATGTCCTGGTCAAAGATAACACCAAGGTTCCTTGTAATGTGTTCCTTGTAATAATGTAATGCCATTCAGGTCAGGTGATTGGCTAAGCAATTTCCTTTTCTGGATTTCTGGTCCAAAGATGAGAACTTCCGTATTGTCTTGATTTAAAAGCAAAAAGTTTAGAGTCATCCAATTTTTTATGTCCTCAAGACAAGCCTGTAATCTATCCAACCGATTAGGTTCATCAGGGTTAATGGATAACTATAACTGAGTATCGTCAGCATAACAGTGGAAGTTTATCCCATGCTGTCTAATGATTTTACCAATTGGGAGCATATATATAGTAAAAAGAATTGGTCCAAGCACTGAACCCTGTGGTACTCCACAAGTAACCCTGGAGTATGAAGACGATTTGTCATGTACATTTACAAAATGAAATCTGTCAGACAGGTAGGATTTAAACCAGCCTAGCGCTGTTCCTATGATTCCTACATGTTCAAGTCTTTCTAAAAGAACATTGTGATCAACTGTGTTATATCCACAACAAGAATCGTTTGACCATATCAGCAGAGTGAAGGCATGTCCCTAATTTACGACATCACAGTTCAGAGGGCTAGAAGGCTGCCTGGACACACACACACACACACACACACACACACACACACACACACACACACACACAAACATGATAAGGGAAGGTAACAGGCCTTTAGCTTGGTTTCACACACACAGATTGAGGTGTAATCCAGACCTGTTGATTATAAAAATCAGGTCTGGAATTAACCCAATTCAGCACACTAAAACCCTTTTCCTTTCAGCCACTAAAAGTGACACAGTTTATAGTTCAAATTATATTAGTCACCAGATACCAGGAATTAAATATTTCGGTCGCACCTAACCTTTTGATACATGAATTATGAAATCTTCAGCCATGATTATCTAACAATTATTCTCATTCATCTTTGGGTGTGAATGAAACAAATTTCAACAAATGCTGTATTGTTTGTAACATTTAATAATTTGCAATTAATTTACTACATGTTCACCTCAGTGGACAGCGTGTATTCTGAACATGAAATATTTTGGCTGGACTTACTGAAGTAAAAATGGATGGGCTCAAATGCAATAACGTAGAAACTGCCTATTGTAGTGACCATTTCGCATCAAGGAGTTAATTTTTTATCTTTATGTTCTAGTTAAGTAGCCTCAGGCCTCAACTGATTTGACCTTGGTGGCTCAGACAGAACACAGCAGCCTTCTGCATTTCTGAGGCAGGCTGTGCTGGAGGGTGATAGAATGGTATCTCATCTTGTGGCACTTGATGGGTTGTTCCGGCAGTTACGGGCTATATGTCCCCTCTTATGGCAGTTCCAGCAAATAACATCTCTGCCGTTTTGTAATTTTCTTCCTTGGCCCCTCCGCCTAGGGTTACGTCTGCCTTTTGTTGCAGAACCTGCATATGATACAGTGCCATCTGAGCTAAAGAATGTGTACAAACTTATCTCACCAAATCTCTCAGAACTTGAGTAAATCGTGGATCCCCCCGATGTCAAGATCCTCACACTGACCCCCAGCGAAAGCACGGCGCCGGAGGAGATTTAGGTTGTCGCCAGTTTTCATGATCAAGAACTAATAAACATACATTTTTCCATAACAGAAGGTCCTTGAGACGACTCTGGTCCTGACTTGGCGCTGTATAAATAAACTGAATTGAAATGGATCAAAAGGAAAAGGTGTTTATTGCCTGGAGACGTCATCATGGTTATGGACTCCACAACACCTAAGGGCTCTTGGATACTTGGAAGAGGTATAAAATCTTTCCCAGATAAGAAGGGTCTGGTCCGTGTTGTTTGTCTTCAAACAAAACCCAATGTGACAGAAAGACTTAGAAAGTACGTCTGTTATGTGAAGCAAATAAAGAACCAAATACTAGTAAAATAATGAGTACATGAACCTTGGTTTACCCTTTCAAGCATACTGATAATGTGTTAGCGTCTTATTTTGGCTGCTTGTTTGTTAACTGCTACCTGTGTGTCCTCCTGTCACACGCAACTAGGACCCGATGTGTAGGGTTAGGGTCGGAGAACCACCTCTGCTTCATGCCTCTTAGCAACATTCTAGCAAAGTATAGCTATAAATACATTGTGTAGATTAAAAAAATGAATAAAACGGTTCTCTTGCATTTGTCTACGAACCTCCATCAGTTACACATTTTGGACCGAAACAACCAAACTAGCACAGGCCAAACTGAACGAGAGCTCTGAGCTCAGGTGCTGAGGATGCTGTAACTCCTGCGTGTCAGCAGCAGGGGGCGAGCTAATGTCAGACGGACTCATTCCATCTGCTACTGACACAGCAAACTCATCTTCTATCTATAACTTCACACCAACGAGGTTCTCCTCCACGTGAGGTGACGAAGATGCTGCTCTGATTCATGTGTGTGTGGTATGAATGAATCAGGGACAGTCTTCCTCCTCTTTCCTCCTCCTCTTCTGTCGTGACGTTTAATCAGGAGGAAACACCACAAACAGTCCTGAGATATTCTGGGTGATTTTACCCACAGCAAGAGTTCCTGTGTGTGTGTGTGTGTGTGTGTGTGTGTGTGTATGTGTGTGTGTGTGTGTGTGTGTGTGTGTGTGTGTGTGTGTGTGTGTGTGTGTGTGTGTGTGTGTGTGTGTGTGTGTGTGTGTGTGTGTGTGTGTGTGTGTGTGTGTGTGACTCAGAAGGAAACCCCTCTGTGGACACAGGGAGGGATTACACAGCCTCAGAGGTATAACTACTGTCAGGGAGCAGAGAGGGAGACTACAGTGACCCGGTTCTGCTTACTGCAGCAGAACTTCCGGACCAACAAGTACCAGGACATCACAGGACCAGAGAGCTTCTGGACTAAACAAATCAGCAGCAGACCATCAGAACCACCTCTGCTCCTTAAACAGAATCCACCTCTAAATGGACCCAGGCCTGAACTGAAGGTTGCTTTTGAGCCCGTCTGCTCAGACTTCTAGACACTCTGTGGGACCTTCACCATCACAGAACATTATGTGTTCTTGGGTCTCCGTGTTCTTCTGGGTGCTGGTCTTCCTTCTCATGGATGCCTCTCCAACTGTCTCTACATCGTTGGACGTGTCACAGCAGCTCCAGAAGGGAGCAGCCAACTCTGCCTGTCCATCTTGCTTTCTGTCCCAGATAAAGACCAACTCCTCCTGGTCAGGAGGTCAGAGCGGCATGGTGGAGGCGGTGAAGCGTCACATCCTCAACATGCTGCACCTGAGCGCTCGGCCCAACCTGACACAGCCAGTTCCTCGAGCAGCTCTTCTCAACGCCATCAAGAAGCTGCATGTTGGTCGAGTGTCTGAAGATGGCAGCGTGGAGATCCAGGAGGACAGCTCAAGTCCCACATACTCAGCACCACCTGAACCACCATCAGAAATCATCACCTTTGGAGAGCCAGGTGAGCTCAGAAGTTCACAAAAGGTGGGGTTTGGATTTATCAGCTGGAGTCCAGGTCCAGGTCCCAGCATCTCAATGGGACAGGCAGACCATCAAACATCTGTGGCAGCAGGATGTGTGGACAGAAGGTTCCCTCACATTAGGACAAGTCCTCCACAGCTCAGAGGACATGTTGGACCTGAACCTGGTCTCTGATTGGCGATGTCTGAGTGTCTCTTGGGTAGCAGCAGCTCAGGAGGTAGACTTCTAGTAGAGAGTCACATTCTAGTTACTGGTGCTCTAGTCACATTCTAGCTACTGGTGTTCTAGTCACGATCTAGTTACTGGTGTTCTAGTCGAGTTCTAGTTACTGGTGTTCTAGTCAGGTTCTAGTTACTGGTGCTCTAGTCAAATTCTAGCTACTGGTGTTCTAGTCACGATCTAGTTACTGGTGTTTTAGTCACATTCTAGTTACTGTGTTCTAGTCGAGTTCTAGTTACTGGTGTTCTAGTCAGGTTCTAGTTACTGGTGCTCTAGTCAAATTCTAGCTACTGGTGTTCTAGTCATGATCTAGTTACTGGTGTTTTAGTCACGTTCTTGTTACTGTGTTCTAGTCGAGTTCTAGTTACTAGTGTTATAGTCAGGTTCTAGTTACTGGTGCTCTAGTCACATTCTAGCTACAGGTGTTCTAGTCACGATCTAGTTACTGGTGTTTTAGTCACGTTCTAGTTACTGGTGTTCTAGTCGAGTTCTAGTTACTGGTGTTCTAGTCAGGTTCTAGTTACTGGTACTCTACTCACATTCTAACTGGTGTTCTAGTCACAATCTAGTTACTGGTGTTTTAGTCACGTTCTAGTTACTGGTGTTCTAGTCAAGTTCTAGTTACTGGTGTTCCAGTCAGGTTCTAGTTACTGGTGCTCTAGTGACATTCTATCTACTGGTAATCTAGTCACAATCTAGTTACTGGTGTTTTAGTCACGTTCTAGTTACTGGTGTTCTAGTCGAGTTCTAGTTAATGGTGTTCTAGTTAGGTTCTAGTTACTGGTGTTCTAGTCAGGTTCTAGTTACTGGTGTTCCAGCCATGTTCGAGTTACTGGTGTTTTAGTCACGTTCTAGTTACTGGTGTTCTAGTCGAGTTCTAGTTACTGGTGTTCTAGTCAGGTTCTAGTTACTGGTGCTCTAGTCAAATTCTAGCTACTGGTGTTCTAGTCACGATCTAGTTACTGTGTTCTAGTCGAGTTCTAGTTACTAGTGTTATAGTCAGGTTCTAGTTACTGGTGCTCTAGTCACATTCTAGCTACAGGTGTTCTAGTCACGATCTAGTTACTGGTGTTTTAGTCACGTTCTAGTTACTGGTGTTCTAGTCGAGTTCTAGTTACTGGTGTTCTAGTCAGGTTCTAGTTACTGGTGCTCTAGTCACATTCTAACTGGTGTTCTAGTCACAATCTAGTTACTGGTGTTTTAGTCACGTTCCAGTCACTGGTGTTCTAGTCGAGTTCTAGTTACTGGTGTTCTAGTCAGGTTCTAGTTACTGGTGCTCTAGTGAAATTCTATCTACTGGTAATCTAGTCACGATCTAGTTACTGGTGTTTTAGTCACGTTCTAGTTACTGGTGTTCTAGTCGAGTTCTAGTTAATGGTGTTCTAGTCAGGTTCTAGTTACTGGTGTTCCAGCCATGTTCGAGTTACTGGTGTTTTAGTCACGTTCTAGTTACTGGTGTTCTAGTCAGGTTCTAGTTACTGGTGTTCTAGTCAGGTTTTAGTTACTGGTGTTCTAGTCGAGTTCTAGTTACTGGTGTTCTAGTCAGGTTCTAGTTACTGGTGTTCTAGTCAAGTTCTACTTACTGGTGTTTTAGTCACGTTCTAGTTACTGGTGTTCTAGCCATATTCTAGTTACTGTTGCTTTAGTCAGGTTCTAGTTACTGGTGTTCTAGTCAGGTTCTAGTTACTGGTGTTCTAGTCAGGTTCTAGTTACTGGTGTTCCAGACACGTTCTAGTTACTGGTGCTCTAGCCACATTCTAGTTACTGGTGTTTCAGTCACGTTCTAGTTACTGATGTTCTAGTCAGGTTCTAGTTAGTGGTGTTCTAGTAAGTTTTTAGTTACTGGTGTTCTAGTTACTGGTGTTCTATTCAGGTTCTAGTTACTGGTGTTCAATTCAGGTTCTAGTTATTGGTGTTCTAGTCATGTTCTAGTTACTGATGTTCTATTCACGTTCTAGTTACTGATGTTCTAGTCACGTTCTAGTTACTGGTGTTTTAATCGCGTTCTACTTACTGGTGTTCCAGTCAGGATCTAGTTACTGGTGTTCTAGTCAGGTTCTAGTTTCTGGTGTTCTAGTCACGTTCTAGTTACTGGTGTTTTAGTCAGGTTCTAATTACTGATGTTTTAGTCAGGTTCTAGTTACTGGTGTTCTGTTCAGGATCTAGTTACTGGTGTTCTAGTCATGTTCTAGTTATTGGTGTTCTAGTCACGTTCTAGTTACTGGTGTTGTAGTCTGGTTCTAGTCACTAGTGTTCTGGTTACTGGTGTTCTTATCAGGTTCTAGTTCCTGGTGTTTTAGTGACGTTCTAGTTACTGGTGTTTTAGTTATGTTCTAGTTACTGGTGTTCTGGTCAGGTTCTAGTTGCTGGTGTTCTAGTCAGGCTCTTTTCTAGTGAAATTCTATCTACTGGTAATCTAGTCACGATCTAGTTACTGGTGTTTTAGTCACGTTCTAGTTACTGGTGTTCTAGTCGAGTTCTAGTTAATGGTGTTCTAGTCAGGTTCTAGTTACTGGTGTTCCAGCCATGTTCGAGTTACTGGTGTTTTAGTCACGTTCTAGTTACTGGTGTTCTAGTCAGGTTCTAGTTACTGGTGTTCTAGTCAGGTTTTAGTTACTGGTGTTCTAGTCGAGTTCTAGTTACTGGTGTTCTAGTCAGGTTCTAGTTACTGGTGTTCTAGTCAAGTTCTACTTACTGGTGTTTTAGTCACGTTCTAGTTACTGGTGTTCTAGCCATATTCTAGTTACTGTTGCTTTAGTCAGGTTCTAGTTACTGGTGTTCTAGTCAGGTTCTAGTTACTGGTGTTCTAGTCAGGTTCTAGTTACTGGTGTTCCAGACACGTTCTAGTTACTGGTGCTCTAGCCACATTCTAGTTACTGGTGTTTCAGTCACGTTCTAGTTACTGATGTTCTAGTCAGGTTCTAGTTACTGGTGTTCTAGTAAGTTTTTAGTTACTGGTGTTCTAGTTACTGGTGTTCTATTCAGGTTCTAGTTACTGGTGTTCAATTCAGGTTCTAGTTATTGGTGTTCTAGTCATGTTCTAGTTACTGATGTTCTATTCACGTTCTAGTTACTGATGTTCTAGTCACGTTCTAGTTACTGGTGTTCTAGTCATGTTCTAGTTACTGGTGTTCTAGTGAAGTTCTGGTTACTGGTGTTCTAGTCACATTCCAGTTACTGGTGTTTTAATCGCGTTCTACTTACTGGTGTTCCAGTCAGGATCTAGTTACTGGTGTTCTAGTCAGGTTCTAGTTTCTGGTGTTCTAGTCACGTTCTAGTTACTGGTGTTTTAGTCAGGTTCTAATTACTGATGTTTTAGTCAGGTTCTAGTTACTGGTGTTGTAGTCTGGTTCTAGTCACTGGTGTTCTGGTTACTGGTGTTCTTATCAGGTTCTAGTTCCTGGTGTTTTAGTGACGTTCTAGTTACTGGTGTTTTAGTTATGTTCTAGTTACTGGTGTTCTAGTCAGGTTCTAGTTGCTGGTGTTCTAGTCAGGCTCTAGTCACGTTCTAGTTACTGGTGTACTAGTCACTAAAGTTCTAGTCACGTTCTAGTTACTGGTGTTAAATCACATTCTAGTTACTGGTGTTCTAGTCAGGTTCTAGTTCCTTGTGTTTTAGTCATGCTCAAGTTACTGGTGTTCTAGTCAGGTTCTAGTTAATGGTGTTCTAGTCAGGTTCTAGTTACTGGTGTTCTAGTCACGTTCTAGTTACTGGTGTTCTAGTCAGGATCTAGTTACTGGTGTTCTAGTTACTGATATTCTAGTCACATTCTAGTTACTGGTTTTCTAGTCAGGTTCTAGTTACTGGTGTTCTATTCACGTTCTAGTTGCTGGTGTTCTAGTCACATTCTAGTTACTGGTGTTCTAGTCATGTTCTAGTTACTGGTGTTCTAGTGAAGTTCTGGTTACTGGTGTTCTAGTCACATTCCAGTTACTGGTGTTCTAGTCACATTCTAGTCACTGGTGTTTTAGTCAGGTTCTTGTTACTGGTGTTCTAGTCACGTTCTAGTTACTGGTGTTCTAGTCAGGTTCTAGTTATTGGTGTTCTAGTTACTGGTGTTGTAGTCAGGTTCTAGTTACTGGTGTTCTAGTCACTAGAGTTCTAGTCATGTTCTCATTACTAGTGTTCTAGTCACGTTCTAGTTACTGGTGTACTAGTCACTAGGCTTCTTGTTACGTTCTAGTTACTGGTGTTGTAGTCACATTCTAGTTAATGCTGTTCTAGTCAGGTTCTAGTTACTGGTGTTCTATTCAGGTTCTAGTTACTGGTGTCTTAGTCACGTTCTAGTTACTGGTGTTCTAGTCAGGCTATAGTTACTGGTGTTCTAGTCAGGTTCTAGTTACTGGCATTCTAGTCAGATTCTAGTTACTGGTGTTCTAGTCACATTCTAGTTACTGGTGTTCAAGTCAGGTTCTAGTTACTGGTGTTCTAGTTACTGATATTCAGTCGCATTCTAGTTACTGGTTTTCTAGTCAGGTTCCAATTACTGGTGTTCTAGTCACGTTCCAGTTACTGGTTTTCTAGTCACGTTCTAGTTACCGGTGTTTTAGTCATGTTCTAGTTACTGGTGTTCTAGTCATGTTCTAGTTACTGGTGTACTAGTCACTAGGCTTCTTGTTACGTTCTAGTTACTGGTGTTCTAGTCACATTCTAGTTAATGCTGTTCTAGTCAGTTTCTAGTTACTGGTGTTCTAGTCACGTTCATTACTGGTATTCTAGTCACGTTCCAGTGACTGGTGTTCTAGTCATGTTCTAGTTACTGGTGTTTTAGTCACATTCTAGTTACTGGTGTTCTTGTCACATTCTAGTCACCAGTGTTCTAGCCACATTCTAATTACTGGTGTTCTAGTCACGTTTTAGTTACATTCTAGTTACTGTTGTTCTAGTCAGATGTAGTTACTGGTGTTCTAGTTACTGGTGTTCTAGTCAGGTTCTAGTTACTGGTGTTCCAGTTAGGTTCTAGTTAATGGTGTTCTAATCATGTTCTAGTTACTGGTTTTAGTCATGTTCTAGTTAATGGTGTTCCAGTCATGTTCTAGTTACTGGTGTTTTAGTCATGTTCTAGTTACTGGTGTTCTATTCAAGTTCTAGTTGCTGGTGTTCTAGTCACATTCTAGTTACTGGTGTTCTAGTGAGGTTCTAGTTACTGGTGTTCTACTCAGGTTCTAGTTACTGGTTTTCTAGTTAAATTCTTGTTACTGATGTTCTAGTAACTGGTATACTAATCAACAGTGTTCTAGTCACAATCTAGTTACTGGTGTTCTAGTCACGTTCTAGTTACATTCTAGTTACTGTTGTTCTAGTCAGGTTCTAGTTACTGGTGTTGTAGTCAGGTTCCAGTAACTGGTGTTCCAGTCATGTTCTAGTTACTGGTGTTTTAGTCAGGTTCTAGTTACTGGTGTTGTAGTCAGGTTCCAGTAACTGGTGTTCTAGTCATGTTCTAGTTACTGGTGTTCTATTCAAGTTCTAGTTGCTGGTGTTCTAGTCACATTATAGTTACTGGTGTTCTAGTGAGGTTCTAGTTACTGGTGTTCTAATCACATTCGTTAATGGTATTCTATTCACGCTCCAGTTACTGGTGTTCTAGTCACGTTCTAGTTACTGGTGTTCTAGTCACATTCTAGTTACTGGTGTTCTTGACACATTCTAGTTACTGGTGTTCTACTCAGGTTCTAGTTACTGGTTTTCTAGTCACATTCTTGTTACTGATGTTCTAGTTACTGGTATACTAGTCAACAGTGTTCTAGTCACAATCTAGTTACTGGTGTTCTAGTCACGTTTTAGTTACATTCTAGTTACTGTTGTTCTAGTCAGGTTCTAGTTACTGGTGTTGTAGTCAGGTTCCAGTAACTGGTGTTCTAGTCAGGTTCTAGTTACTGGTGTTCTAGTCAGGTTCTAGTTACTGTTGTTCTAATCATGTTCTAGTTACTGGTGTTTTAGTCATGTTCTAGTTACTGGTGTTCAAGTTACTGGTGTTCTAGTAACTTATGTTTAGTAACTGATGTTCTAGTTACTGGTGGTCTAGTAACTGATGTTCTAGTTACTGGTGTTCTAGTAACTGATGTTCTAATTACTGGTGTTCTAGTAAATTACGTTCTAGTTACTGGTGTTCTAGTAACTGATGTTCTAGTTACTGGTGGTCTAGTAACTAATATTCTAGTTACTGGTGTTCAAGTAACTGATGTTCTAGTAAATGATGTTCTAGTTACTGGTGTTCTAGTAACTGATGTTCTAGTTACTGATGTTCTAGTAAATGATGGTCTAGTTACTGGCATTCTAGTTACTGATGTTGTAGTTACTGATGTTGTAGTTACTGATGTTGTAGTTACTGATGTTCTACTTCCTGGTGTTCTAGTTACCGGTGTTGTAGTTACTGATGTTCTACTTCCTGGTGTTCTAGTTACTGGTGTTGTAGTTACTGGTGTTCTACTTCTTGGTGTTCTAGTTACTGATGTTCTAGTTACTGATGTTGTAGTTACTGATGTTCTATTTCCTGGTGTTCTAGTTACCGGTGTTGTAGTTACTGGTGTTCTAATCAAATTCTAATTACTGATGTTCAATTCAGGGTTTAGTTACTGATATTCTAGTCAGTCATGCTCAGGTCAGACAGGTTCCATTTCTGTTCCCAATCTGTATGCAGATGGGAGAAAGTTTGTGTGAGAGTGAAACAGTCATGTACTTCCCAATTTACTGACAGAAATGTTCCTATTGATGTTCTATTAATAGTCATCCTTATCCTAAGAAATGTGTCATTAATCAGCTCTTCAGAGGGTTGTCAGAATTAACGAGCAGTGGGGGTGGGGGTGGGGGGGGGCATTCCGTGTGGCCTCAGGCCGTGACTAAATTCTGTATTCATGCAAATCTGGGCCTCAGTAATTATTGCGGAACAGGGGTGGTTGGGGGGGGGGGGGGGGGCTCTTTTTTTAGTTTCTGTTTTCATCAAATTTATTTAGAGGCTCCATTCATTCATTAATAGTCATTGTTTAAATACAGTGTGTGTGTGTGTGTGTGTGTGTGTGTGTGTGTGTGTGTGTGTGTGTGTGTGTGTGTGTGTGTGTGTGTGTGTATGATTATGTGTGTATATGTATGTGTTTGTGTGCATGCGTTTGTATGTGTATGTGTGTGCATGTGTTTGTATGTGTATGTGTGTGCATGTGTGTGTGTGTGTGTGTGTGTGTGTGTGTGTGTGTGTGTGTGTGTGTGTGTGTGTGTGTGTGTGTGTGTGTGTGTGTGTGTGTGTGTGTGTGTGTGTGGTCTGTTGGTTGTTTTTCTGTTTAACACAAACACAAAATAACCTAGGGGAAAAATGTTTTGCTGCATCTCGTTTTACAGACTGTTTCAACATGTTTTTCTTCACAGGGCCCTCACCGAACTCTGTGACTTTTGACCTTCTTAAGGACACTGGCTCTGCTCTGGTGGAACAAGCTAATGTTTGGATCTTCCTGAAGATGTCAAGAGTAGATGGGGTCAAGGGAAAAGTGATGTTGCGGCTGCTGCGGACTCCTGATAATGGAGATCCTGATGACGAGTGTGTTTCAGAGAAGATGGTGGATGCTCGTCGCAGTGGCTGGCATATGCTTGCTATGACTCACAGCATTCAGTCTCTGCTGGACAGAGGCAGCAGCTCCCTCAACCTTCGAGTTTCTTGTCTGCTTTGTTCCAAGGTTGGAGCTTTGCCCATCCTCGTACCAGTGGGGCGGGATCAGTCTCATCGCCCATTCCTCATGGTGAAGCTAAGAGCCGAAGAGGAAGAGTCTCTGAGGCGAGTCAAACGAGGTCTGGAGTGCAACGGGAAGATCCACATCTGCTGCAAACGACAGTTTTATGTGAACTTTAAAGATATTGGTTGGAACGATTGGATTATTGCTCCATCTGGTTACCATGCCAACTACTGTGAGGGTGACTGTCCAAACCACATGGCCAGCATCGGCACCTCCACGCTCTCCTTCCATTCAGCAGTGATCAACCACTACCGCATGAGGGGCTACGGCCCGTTCCAGAACACCAAGTCCTGCTGTGTGCCAACGAGGCTCCGCGCCATGTCCATGCTCTACTACAACGAGGAGCAGAAGATCATCAAGAAGGATGTTCAGAACATGATCGTAGAGGACTGTGGCTGCTCCTAGAATGTTCCTCTGAAAACTTGAGCAGAAATAAAAGCTTCCCCAGGTCCCGAGTTTGGACTGCAGAGATGCTTCTCCACATTGGAATGAGCAACATGAGCAGCAGGACCTGCTATCAAACTGTCTCTGACATATCAAAATGGATGAAATCCCACCATCTCCAACTCAACCTCTCTAAAACTGAACTACTTGTCATCCCAGCAAAACCGTACAGCACAATATCTCAATCCAGAATGACTTCCTATCTCTGGCTCCTTCAAAGGCAGTTCGAAATCTGGGTGTTGTGATTGATGAACACCTGACCTTTAAAGATCATATTGCCTCTGTTGCCCGTTCATGCCGCTTTGCACCGTATAACATACGAAAGATCAGACCATACCTAACACATGCCACCCAGCTCCTGTTGCAATCTACTGTCATCTCCCGCATCGATTACTGCAATGCCCTTCTAACTGGTCTTCCAGCCTGTACTGTGAAACCTCTTCAAATGGTCCAGAACGCAGCGGCGCGTCTGGTCTTCAATCAGCCAAAAAGAGCACAGGTCACCCCTCTGTTCATTGAGCTCCACTGGCTACCGCTAGCAGCACGCATCAAATTCAAATTGCTAACACTAGCATACAAAGTCCGAGATGGTACGGCTCCCATCTACCTGAATCCTCTTGCAAAGGCTTACGGCCCGGCCCGGCTGCTCCAGTCATCACAGGATCGTCGGCTAGCAGTGCCTACACCATGCTCAGGACAATCCAGACTCTTCTCATGCATCGTTCCACAAATGTGGAATGACCTACCAAGCACTACCAGAACAGGGGCTTCCTTTTTGACTTTCAAGAATTTCCTGAAGACCCTGCTCTTCAGAGAGCATCTTCTAAACTAGCACACCCTCCCTGCACCCGTCCCCCCTCTCTACTGTCCACTCCTTGTTCCCACCTCTCCGTGATTCATCATGCTGCCTCACTGCCACCTACGACTGACTGGAAATTGTTTATTGTTGTTGTTGTTATTGTTGTTGTTAGCCTCAATGGCAACATGCCGATTATAACTTGTAAGTCACTTTGGACAAAAGCGTCTGCTAAATACATAAACATAAACATCATCAAGAAGGATGTGCAGAACATGATCGTAGAGGAGTGTGGCTGCTCCGAGAACGTTCCTCTGGAAACTTGAGCAGAAATAAAAGCTTCCCCAGGTCCCGAGTTTGGACTGCAGAGATGCTTCTCCACATTGGAATGAGCAACGTGAGCAGCAGGACCTGCTATCGGACTTTTATCCGTTTCTTCTGGTTTTAGTTCTCAAGCACGTTCAGCAAATGGTTCCTCTGAAGGTTCAAACGGAGTCAAACATCTCTGCTGTTGATGTACTAGTTTCATTCAGCTGCTGGGGCCAAACACCACCATCACCATGGTTGGAACCATTGTGGTTTTTCTACTTCCGCTCAGAGGGTTCAGACGAAAGCCAAAGACCACCCTGAAGATGAACGTTTGAAAGCTAAGCTAAATGATAGAAGTGACACAAGTGATAAACGTCTGATGATTTCCATAGTTTCATTATGAAATTTCTATAATTTATTTGCATTAATTTTATCATTAAACAGTTGGAGAACATTTTGTTGTCTGTTTGCTGGAACACCTGCTCGGACTGCCCAGGTACAACCAGGGCTTTTCCTGCATTCAAATTTGTGTGGCGGCCGCCTTCAGCTACGTTTGTGCCGCCCCAGCCTGATTTCACTCTGCCTCCAGCTATATTGATGTTATTTTAACTGCAGTTGCAGCGATGCGCCACTACAGGGGTGCTGTATCAGCAGCGGTGCACCGAAAAGCACAAAAACCGCTGCAGAAAAAGATCAAAAATAGCTCTTCTCGCTATTTGGTACATATCTATGGTTGGTGCTATTGACGTCCTGATTTTCTTCCAGGCTCTTCCATATCAGAGCAGGGCTGTACAGTGCGACGAAAAAAACTTTTGCAGCGTGTCTGTTTATTTTTAAACGTAGCACTGGTGCAACATCTTTGAATTACTATTTTCCCCAGACTTTATTGAACAAAAGTAAGTTACGTGTAAGAAAAATACTTTTTACTGGCGCACAGTGTGGTAATCTGGATGCAGTGGAGGAAAATAAAGGAACCAGCAAAGGCACAAAGGCAGAACCGGTCCAAAGTTTGGGATCAAAAGTGCAGATACACGCAGATTGGCTAATGCTAAAGCTAACGGGTAGCAGTCTCACGATCAAGTGGCGCACAGAAAACTGTGTGATGATCGTAAAACTATGAAAGACTAAACTCTACAAGCGCATGAAAAGTCCCCACCATCCTGTTTATTCTGCATCCTGCAGCGCTATGGATTAGAACTAGTGATGTGTCGGTCGGAAACGAACCGGCTGTAAGAGCCGGCTCTTTGAAGTGGACGACGGGAGCCGGCTCGTCATTGGGAGCCGCCCCCTCCCCTCTTGCTTTGGTGAAAGCAGGCGATTGGTCAACATGAGTAACTGCGTGTCCAGACTGTCCACACACAGAGCAGTAGGGGCGGGGAAGAGGGAGGATAAGACTCAGACACACAGCAGAACACATGTGAAAAAGGCGAGCGAAAGGGAGGAGAGTGTGATGAACATGGTGAGAAAATGAGCACCAGTAGTCTGAAAGTGGCGATTTCTTAAAGTGTTCAGTTATTAAATCCATAGAAAGGATAAATATTTGATATATTGCATTTTTTACATTAGTAAATCATTTTACATATAGTTTTGCATTATTTTTGGTGATAAATATACTTTACGCAACAGAAAATCTGAGGAGCCACATGGGAGCCGAAAGAGCCGGCTCTTTTTGGTAAGCTGAGCCAAAAGAACCGGCTCTCTCAAAGAGCCAGAATTCCCATCACTAATTAGAACCGCTGCAGATACCAGTCAAATTACTGCTACAAGTCTGCTCCACACACAGGAGCAGGAATTATGGCAAGCCATTGTAGTATATAATTCACAAACGCTTCTATCTTTGAATAATTTAAACTGGATTATTGCCAACCTGTACATAATAAACATGTCACCATTACATTGTTAGCAGCAGAAATGACATGTTATTACCATTTCCAACATAAATGCATGTTAATGAAATGCATTATATTTTACTGGATATATGTATGTGTTATTTTTATTAAGATGAGTGTTATTAATACAAACCTAAAATGTTATTGAAATGTAGGTGAAATATTTAAAAATATTTTAACTATAAATATCAGATGGGAGGGCGGTACAGTGGTTAGAGCTGTTGCCTTGCGGCAAGAAAGTCCTGGGCTCGCTTCCCAGCCTGGGATCTTTCTGCATGGAGATTGCATGTTCTCCCTGTGCATGAGTGGGTTCTCTCCGGGTCCAAAAACATGACTGTTAGGTTAATTGGTCTGTCTAACTTGTCCTTAGGTGTGTGTGTGTGTGTGTGTGTGTGTGTGTGTGTGTGTGTGTGTGTGTGTGTGTGTGTGTGTGTGTGTGTGTGTGTGTGTGTGTGTGTGTGTGTGTGTGTGTGTGTGTGTGTGTGTGTCTGTGTTGCCCTGCGATGGACTGGCTCTCTGTCCAGGGTGTACCCCACCTGATTGCCTATTGACCGCTGGAGATAGGCACCAGCCCCCCCCCCCCCCCCCCCCCCCCCCCCGCGACCCTACATGGACAAAGCGGGTTCCGACAATGGATGGATGGATATCAGATGGGAAAAAGGGAACTAAACACCAATCTAATGCATATTATTGAGCCTTTCATAATAAGAGTCTGTTACTTCAGCCTGACAATTTTGTTGTTTTCTTTCATATTTTTAGCAGCAAACCAGTTATGTTTCACTTGAAACGTTGTCAAATGGAATATTCAATTAATCCACAGAAGCTTAGATTAGAACACTTAACAAAAAATATTTTGCCTTTAAAAAAGTGAGGCAGTTGATTGAACAGAGTATGCATGTGCTGGCGCATGGTCAGGATGGTACCACCTCTGCCTCAATTTGAGCCAGGAAAAACCCTGAAAACCCTGTTGGTCTGTTGGTTAAACAGCTTTTGCCTCTGCTAACGTGCCTGAATGCATCGCGGAACAGATGATCCTCCTCATCTTGTGTTGATGGTGTGTTTTAAGACAGTCAGCTTCTGTCTGTCTTCAGAGATCAGATCAGGTCTGAGCTACTTTCACACATCCACAGAGGCCGCCTGGTCGATGCGGGAACCCGACACTCGGCTCTTTGTTTACAGATAAAAACTAGAGTGACAACGCTCAGACTGAGAGGCTCCTCCGCTTCCTCCTCTGTCCCATCCTGTTCCCTGATTGGCTGCTGGAATCCAACAGGCAGCCAGTGAGGTTGTACAATTAAACTTTCACAAGACGGAGAGAACCAGCACCCGGCTGACCCGATGATGCTGTTTGTTCACTAACCTACAAACTCAGACCTGAAACAATGAATTGATTTCAGAAACATAAAGATGATGTCGTAAAGCCAATGCACCTTCTGGTTACACCACCATAGAGGTAACCTCAAACAGAACATTACAGCCTAACCCAAGGTCAAATCATCTGCTGGTGACAGAAAAGTGTTTACAACCCTGCTATAAAAAGGTCTTATATTATTGGAGAATAACACAATTCTGTATTTTCACCAAATTAGAGCATCTCTGGAAAGCAGCAGCTGGCTGTTGTTGGGTGGGACCAGTAACCTAACAAACCCTTAGTGAGCACTTTTCCTTTACCAAGATAACCCATCCCACCTCACAGGTGCGGCATATCAAGGGGCTGATGACGGCATGAATAAATGTACAGGTGTGCCGTAGACTGCCCACAATAAAAGGACACCCTGACAAGTGCAGTTTTGCTTTATGGGGGGTGGTGGGGCAGAAAACCAGTCAGTATCTGGCGTGGCCACCATTTGCCTCACGTAGACCAACACATCTCTGTCACATAGTGTTGATCAGGTTGATTGTGGCCGGTGGAACGTCGGTCCACTCCTCTTCAGTAGCTGTGTAAAGTTGCTGAACATGGGCAGGAACTGGAACACGCTGTCCTATACGCTGATCCAGAGTATCCCAAACACGCTCAATGGGTAACATGTCTGAGTATGCTGGCCATACAAGAACTGGGATGTTTTCAGCTTCCAGGAATTGTGTCCAGATCCTTGTTAGATGGGGCCGTGCGTTATCATGGTGCAACATGAGGAGATGGTCGTGGATGAACGGCACAACAATGGGCCTTAGGATCTCATCACGGTACCTCCAGGGGTGAAAGCCCGGCCATCAGGTGCTCGCCAACGTGCCCCACCTCCAGGCCTGGCTCCAGAGGGAGGCCCCGGTGACCCACGTCCAGGCGAGGGAACATGGTTTCCATTTATATTATTCATCATGAAAGATCTTTGGGCTGCTCTTTGTCTGATCCCTCACCTAGGACCTGTTTGCCATGGGTGACCCTACCAGAGGCATAAAGACTCAGACAACTTAGCTCCTAGGATCATTGGGACACTCAAAAGCCTCCACCACGGTATGGTGGCAGCCCTGGGAGAGGGTACAACCCGATAGTAGAGTAAAACATAAAGATGCTGGGGCTTCTTAGGGGTACAAGAGAAAGGAGGTGACTCAGAAGAGAGGGGAGCAGAAAACAGCAGGATTTGGAGTTTTATTTCCTGATATTCTGATGTCTCTCTTCTGATTGGCTAACAGCAACACGGCTCTGCAACACTGATGTTTTATCCCCGCAAATGAGATAAGCCTGAAGGCCTCTGCACATGCCTGCACCCTTCCATACAGAAAAGATAATAACAGCACTGAAAAAACACAACACCAACAAAACTATACATGGCAGTCTGAAAAAGACAAAAAGACAAGTTCTCATCAGAGCAAAAGAGTGAAGTCATTTACTAAATCCCATGCAAACTCTGCGATAAATCATACATAGGAGATATCGGACGCCAGCGCAACACGACAAATAGAACATAGATGTGAGAAAGAAACAAGGCAAAGATGCACAAGAGCAGAGAAACGAGAAGCAGAAAGTACAATAAAGAAATCAGCTGTTTAGAACAGAAACCATATACTGGGACAGCACACCATCATAAACACAGAACAACAGAAGAAGGATCAAAGAAGCGATGAAGAGGAGACGTGGGCCCGGGACCATAAGCAGGGCTGAAGCTGGACCACTCATGGGACTTGGTGATCAACAGAGAAGGTGCGGGCAGTAGAGGGCGATATTGTCAACCCACTGCTCTCAGAAAAATGGAGATGGCAGTGATGCCACCAACATCGGTGAAAGTTCTAACGAAGGCGCCGGTGAGAGCCGAAACATGCCAGGTGTGTTAGTGACGGACTAATAAAATGGAATCAGCTAAAGAAGACAGAATAAATGTAACAAAGATGTTAGAAGGCTGTTAAGAGGCATGAAGAAAGGCTTTAAGCTAGCTTGTTTTGTAGATTTGCTGTTGTAGCTTTAAAAGGGAGATTTCCTCTCCACTGTCGCTGCATGCTTGCTTATTATGAGGATTGCTGTAAAGACTCTGACACTAGTCAGTGACTCGATGTGACCTGCTGGGCTCCTTATATAGGAAACTTGTTACTGATTGGCTTAATGAACTGAACTCAGTGCACTGATGTTAAATGATAAATGGTCTGTATTTGTATAGCGGGTTCTTACGGTTCTACAACCCCTCAACGCACTTCACAGCATAATCAGTCATTCACCCATTGCACGCTGGTGATGAGCTACGATGTAGCCACAGCTGCCCTGGGACACACTGACAGAGGCGAGTCTGCCCAACACAGGCGCCACCGGTCTCTTTGACCACCACCAGCAGGCGAGATGGTTAAGTGTCTTGCCCAAGGACACAACAGCAGCATTCTCTGTTGGGAGCCAGGATGGAACCTGCAACCTTTCGATGACTGAACTGCCTGCTCTACCTCCTGAGCTACGTGGGTTCAATTGGAAGAAACTTTGGGATGTAGCCGGGTTGTTATACACTACTAGACCCTCAGTCGGGCCACTGAACCCTACTGGACCCTCAGCCGAGTCGTTGAACCCTACTGGACCCTTAGCTGGGCCTATGTACCCTACTGGACCTTTAGCCGGGCTATTGTACCCTACTGGACCCTCAGCTAGGTTGTTGAACCCTACTGGACCCTTAGCTAGGCCTATGTACCCTACTGGACCCTTAGCCGAGCTGTTGAATCCTAACCCTCATCAGGACAACTGGTGGAGGACAGGTCCAGATTTCTGGACCCTTTGGAACATGAAGAGACATAATGAGAGGTGGTGCACTGTCATATGAGTGAAGGATGTGTGTTTGTGTGTGGGCTAGCTGCAGCACACGTCAGTGCTGCTCTCTGAGCGACAGCCACTAACCTCGACACCACCTCCACTACAAACTGTTTCTCCATCATAGCGCTATTCCAAGACTTTCACGCCCACAGTTTCACTCACACTCTGCTGCTAAGTCAGACCTGAGATCGGCTGCCAGGATCTGTTCACTCTGCTCTCCATGTCGCACTTTAAGTCATGCAGGTCCATTTGTAGTGAACAGAACCAGCAGAGCAACAGGGACAGCGGATCCAGCAAGGGCTTCCAGGAAGATCCACACTGAAATGAGAAAATGAATTATAAAGTATTATAATAAAGATCGTTATTAGTCTGCTGTGTTCTGAGGTGGAGCTCTGGATCCGTTCAGAAGAATTTGTGTTCCATCAGGGCGATACATCCGTTTCCGCTGAAAGCCCACATTTATGTTTCCCTAACCCTAACTTGGTAAACTTGGGTGATGTGAAGTGCCAGATTAAATATACCAAAAGAGATCCAAACCGTCACCTGGATTAAAAACAAGTCTGGTTCATAAAAACGCTTATGGCCTCGACCCTCCCTGACGCCGAGCCAGTTTTACGTTGTGTCGAGTTATTCTAAAAGATTTACTGAAATTCTTCTGAGTGAGATTACTGAGTGAACTCACTCTGTCACACCCTGGTGTAGGTCATGGATAAGTTTAAGGACCCAGCCTAGATGATGGAGGTGGAGACCCCAGAGGAACTGGTCCCAGTGCTTCGACCTGCACCAGATCTGTTTCTAATCTGGATTCTCCACCAGGACAAAGAATAATTAGAATACATGTTTCATATACATCCCACGAGACAATTTTAAAATGTCTTAACATTTTTCACCTTACTATTCGAAGATACATTAAAAGTACATACACACTTTAGCCAAATGAACATCCATGTAGCTTCCAAGATATTCTTCAAGCGTGATCGTCTACTTCGCCGGAGCCCACACACAAATGTTTACTACCGTAACTGTTCGAACGTTTGCGCAACCTTCGTAATTCCAATGGTTTCAGAAAGGTGACACTCCACGCTTTTCAGAGGTGTACGATATATTACGTAACATGACGGAGTTCCTGTCTGAGAGCCGGCCCAGGAGAAAAAGACTACACCGTTAGAACAATGGAGGAGCGGAGGAATTGTTTTGGGAGGCGTATTTTCAAGATAGTCGGACTATCCGTGCTCATTGACATGTGCTGCTATGGGGCACGCGCAGACCGATTTTTCAAGGCTCTGTTGGAGTTTCACAAATCAGGGAAAGGTTTCACAAATCCCACACTGTGTTTTATTTGATCTGCTATTATTGTAGAATAATCTAGAACAGGTTTGAACAGCGTGGCTGTTGTAGTTTTTGAGCTACAGCTGTTCCATCGTTGGCCAGATGATGAAAAAAACACATAAATCAGGCTTTGTTGAAGTTTCACAAACCAGGGAAAGGTTTCACATGTCCCACACTGTGTTTTATTTGATCTGCTTTCATAGTAGAATAATATAGAACAGGTTTGAACAGTGTGGCTGGAGTAGGTTTTGAGCTAGAGCAGATTAAAGATGGTCAGAGTAGAGAAAAATTGGGTGTAATAGCCCTTTAGCCATTTCCCGAATCGGAAGCTGGAATCGGAAGCTGGAATCGGAAGCTAACTTCAGCCTAGCCCTGCTGCAAGGATCTGCAGAGGCTGTCAGCAGGAGCATCTAGACCCAGAAGGGGTGTTAGCAAGCTACCCATCTGATCCTGCAAAGTGGTACCAAATTGATGACAGGATGTGTGAGTACTTTGCACTAAACCATCCCTCTCAAAATATTGGATATTTCTCTGCATCACAGAGGAAATCTGGAGACATAAACCAAAGCGTAACCAAGTAACGTTTCTTTAGACGTGTTTCTGCTGTGACTGAGGCCTGTGATGCTGGAAAGCTGATTATACCGGATTGGAGCATGCTAAATGGTTTCCTTGGTAAGTGTTGCTGGTTTTATTAATTTTTTTTAAATATTTTTATTAATGTTCAAATAGCATAACAAAAAATAAGTTCACACTCAGAAAATTCACACAGAATTTCTGATTCAGCAGAGGCTAAAACAGCTTGAATGAGTATAAAGCAAGATCAAAACTTAAGATGTTTTCATTTTATTAAAATACTTTCTTTTAAGATTATAGATTTATAAAAATTATTCTGTAATAATTTAAGCTGTATGTTTATAGTTTGTTTTGCGCCTTTAAACATGCTTCAGTCCATTCAAATTCATCTATTTCTTCTTGAATGTCTTTCCACCATCATGTGATTAATTTGTCAACATTTATAAATGTTGTAAGCTATTGTATTTAGCAGAAAATCGTTTTAATTAAATGTGTTGATTAAATGTAAACAGAGAAAATAAGATAAACATATTTGCTCTGTTTACATAGTTTAATGACACCTAGTGGTTATTTACTGTTACTACTGCCTTGACATTGACACTCCCAATGGATAACATGAGGATAATTTATTAGCATTTAATACAGCTGTGTAATGACGTATAAATTATTAATATAAAAAATTGTCTGATAGAATGTTTTACATACAACACATGACTTATTCTGGCATACAAACAACCAATTTGTAACCAAAAACTAGGCTATGTAAAATGTGCACGAACTTTTATTAGTAACTTTGGTAAGTTTCAGATTTCAATTCATTAAATAACATCGATGGGGGGGCTAAAAATGCAGCCTGCCTAGTGTAGTCCATTTATTTAATCCAGCTCTGCCCATCACTGTGAAAACAGGGAGAAATTCCCCGGGGCATAGGAGCTGAGGATAAAGGGTTAGTGGATGTGTGAAAGAGGAAGGAAAGACAGACAAACAGCAGTATTTAGACCCATTTGTTTGTTACCACAGAGTGTTGAATGCACAAAGGGAAGGTCTGCTACCAGCAGGCTGATGGTTCAGCGTCATGGTGACGTCATACACAAGTTACAGAAATAATAAACATTTGATAGAAAACAATAAAACTTTATTGTCCACTGCGGCTTAGGCTCTCAGGAACAAAAGAAAGTCGTTCATGAAACCATAGGTCAGGTCACCTTGGCTAAGGATCGGTACAGACAGTCTATCATTTCTGGTGATTCGTTCATCATTTGTGAGGAGCCGTTTGAAAGCCGAACAGTAAGAACCGGTTCTCTTAAAAGAGCCGGTGTTCCCATCATTCGGCCGCTCAGCGGCGCTACAGGCTACGTGACCTTTAGATGAGTCGAGGAGTTTCCGGTTCCTGTAGCTGCTCTCTGTTTCGGATGTACCGACCTCAGCGAAGTCCAGGAGCTCAGCGGGCGCCTGGGAGGTTCCCCTCCCCGGGCCACAGCTGGGGATTCCCGTTCACGGGCTCCCCCCAGAACCGGAGCCCGTTCACTCCCGGTTCTGCAGGAGAATACGTGGACGGGTTCGGCTACAGGTCCATGGCGTTCGCGAGTCCGATGCAACGCGGCGGAAACGGTTTCCGGCGGCCTCGGTCCTTCAACCCGAAAGCTTCTCCGAACCAGGTACCGGTTCGGGTCCGGGTTCCGACTCATTTCTTGTAAAATAATCATGATCAACAGAATTACCCAAAGGTTCTGGTCCTGGTTGGGTTGATGCTGGCAGCAGCAGGATGTCCGCGGGGTCTTGCGTCGGGTAAAGGCTCGTGATGTCACCATGTTCGGTTTAGGAAGTGGTCACGTGGCCCTGTCAGCGGGATGAGTTTCCATAGATATATATATAAACACAGGTCCAGGATCAGGTGTGTTTATATACAGGTGCTGGCCAGTAAATTAGAATATCATCAAAAGGTTGAAAATATTTCAGTAATTCCATTCAAAACGTGAAACTTGTACATTATATTCATGCAATGCACACAGACCAATGTATTTCCGATGTTTATTACGTTTAATTTTGATATTTATAGGTGACAACCAATGAAAACATCAAATCTGGTATCTCAGAAAATTAGAATATTCTAAAGGCCAATGAAAAAATGTTTGTTTCTCTAATGTTGGCCAACTGAAAAGAATGAACATGAAAAGAATGTGCATGTATAGCACTCAATACTTAGTCGGGGCTCCTTTTGCCTCAATAACTGCAGTAATGCGGCGTGGCATGGACTCGATCAGTCTGTGGCACTGCTCAGGTGTTATGAGAGCCCAGGTTGCTCTGATAGTCGTCTTCAGCTCCTCTGCATTGTTGGGTCTAGCGTATTGCATCCTCCGCTTCACAATAACCCATAGATTTTCTATGGGGTTAAGGTCAGGCGAGTTTGCTGGCCAATCAAGGACAGGGATACCATGGTCCTTGAACCAGGTGCTGGTGGTTTTGGCACTGTGTGCAGGTGCCAAGTCCTGTTGAAAGGTGAAGTCTGCATCCCCATAAAGTTGGTCAGCAGCAGGAAGCATGAAGTGCTCTAAAACTTCCTGGTAGACGGCTGCATTGACCCTGGACCTCAGGAAACAGAGTGGGCCAACACCGGCAGATGACATGGCACCCCACACCATCACTGACGGTGGAAACTTTACACTGGACCTCATGCAACGTGGATTCTGTGCTTCTCCGCTCTTCCTCCAGACTCTGGGTCCTTGATTTCCAAAGGAAATGCAGAACTTGCTTTCATCAGAAAACATAACTTTGGACCACTCAGCATCAGTCCAGTCCTTTTTGTCCTTGGCCCAGGCGAGACGCTTCTTGCGCTGTTTCTTGTTCAAGAGTGGCTTGACACACGGAATGCGACACCTGAATCCCATGTCTTTCATGAGTCTCCTCGTGGTGGTTCTTGAAGCGCTGACTCCAGCTGCAGTCCACTCTTTGTGGATCTCCCCCACATTTTTGAATGGGTTTGTCGTCACAATTCTCTGCAGGGTGCGGTTATCCCTAGAGCTTGTACACTTTTTTCTACCACATTTTTTCCGTCCCTTCGCCTGTCTGTTAATGTGCTTGGACACAGAGCTCTGCGAACAGCCAGCTTCTTTAGCAATCACCTTTTGTGTCTTGCCCTCCTTGTGCAAGGTGTCAATGATTGTCTTTTGGACAGCTGTTAAGTCAGAAGTCTTCCCCATGATTGTGGTGCCTTCAAAACAAGACTGAGGGACCTTTTAAAGGCCTTTGCAGGTGTTTTGAGTAAATCAGCTGATTAGAGTGGCAGCAGGTGTCTTCTATATTCAGCCTTTTCAGAATATTCTAATTTTTTGAGATACCAAATTTGGAGTTTTCATTAGTTGTCACTTATGAATATCAAATTTAAATGTAATGAACATTGGAAATACATTGGTCTGTGTGCATTGCATGAATATAATGTACAAGTTTCACATTTTGAATGGAATTACTGAAATATTTTCAACCTTTTGATGATATTCTAATTTACTGGCCAGCACCTGTACATATCTATGTGAGTTTCTGCCACAGGTACCGTTACGTCACTTACGTCACGGATCCAGAAAGAAAAGTTTTCATTTTCTTGTTTCATCCCGTTTCCGGTTGATCATCAGTTCCGTTTCTAAATGATTCTTTTTAAACTACTCGTTCTATTTTCTGCAGGTTTCCCTACGTTAATGAAAGAACATCATGTGTGTGTGTGTGCGTGTGCACATGTAGCCTGTGTATGTGCGTGTAGCCTGTGTGTGTGTGCGTGCAGCCTCTTTGTGTGTGTGTGTGTAAAAGCAGTTATCGCCTCTGTCAGCGTGGCTACAGTGTAGCTCATCATCACCAGCGTGTGGATGACTGGCTATGTTGTAAAGCACCTTGGGGGGTTGTAGAACCCTGAGAATACAGGTTGTTTACCGTTTAAACAACACTTAAGACATGTGACGCATCTTTAAACAGAAACCAGCGATTGTAAACAAATGTACACAACAATAAAACACTATTTCCATAATTATACTTGGAAATACTTTTTTCCAGAAAAAGGCATTTGAGCCATCGCTCTGCCTTCTTAAAACTCCCACGCAGCAATGGATTATGGGTAACACCCTTGCAGATCAAGGGTGCAAAAGGGGCGTGGCCAACTTCCACACTTGAGAATCGAGACACTACGCCTTTGCGCCCTGGACGGGAACGCACAACTGAGGGGTGCAAGAGTGGAGGTGCGAGTATGGGGACCACTAATATAGAGCCTGAAGGTGCAGTGCAGGGAGGGCTGGTGGTGCACTTAACACTTCTATACCTCCGGCCTGAGGGTGAGAGTGAGAGGAGGCCATGCTGGAGAGGCAGCTCTTCTGTGCTCTGGTGGTGAATGCTCTGCAGAGAGGGTTGTGGTGTCCTGGTGATCCTAGACACGGTCTTAACCACTCACTGCAAGCGTTTGTGTTCCTTCACAGTAGCGCTGCCGTATCACGTGGTGATGCAGGTGGTCAGGGCGGACGCAGTAGTGCAGCTGTAGAAGATGCTGAGGATCCTAGGGGACATGCTAGTATAGCTGCTGCTGTACTTCAAGCTGCTCACCCTCTCCACTTCAAGGTCCTGGATGAACAGTGGCTGATGAGGTCTCCTCTCCTTGCTCGTGTCCACTGTCCTTTCCTGGGTCTTGTTTGTGTTAAGAGTGAGTTTGTTGTCCCCCAGGATGTCCACCACCCTCCTGAAGTCAGTTTAATCTCTGCTGGTGATGCATCACAGTGGGGTGATGTTATTGCAGTGGTAGGCTACATGGTCGTGAGTGAACAGGGTGTAGAGGATAGGGCTGAGAACACTGTCTAATCCCGCTGGTTTTGTGTTTCAGTCCAGACCGTCAGACGTTCCTGTGGAGAAATATTTCAGTCCCATGATGCTGGAGGATCCCTGGGAAATGCTGCAGCCCATCAGTGCTGCAGACGCCGCCACCGCCATCAGGAGGATCACATGGCCCAGGCCAGCTTCCAGCAGCCAATAAGAAGTTAGCAGCTGCATTCACCTGACCTGTTTGTGTTATGATCCTAATGATCAATGTGTTCAGACTGTTTGTTTTTATTCACACTGCAGACAGGAAATGTTTTTATTTTTGTCAGTAAAATGTGTTTCTGAAAAGGTTTGTCTTTAGTCCTTATTGTGGTCACATCACCACTCACCCTACCAGCCAGTGGGTCACTGGTTATCCCAGTTTATAGAAGACAGTGGGTTATTGATAATACCAAAATACTGACAATCCCAGATTATTAATGGGGGAGGGTCACTGAGTAACCCAGGTTATAGAAACCAGCACATTGTGGAAAACCCTACATGCTAGTGTCTGTCTTGTCTTTAAGTATTTATTAGACTTTTCTGTTTTAAGTGTCATTAAAATCTAATAACCCATAGATGTTTCTAAATCTTGGTTGGGATTATGGGTTTGTTCTGTTTTACTGGTGAGAGTAAAGTCAAAAACCTGGTACAGAAATCCATTTATGTCAGTAACCCAACGTACCCCTCGTTTCCACCGGACTTGAAAGAGCCGTGTACGAAAAAGAGGCGTTGAACTTGCAAATGGGCGCAAAGCATTCCAGGCCGCCCCTCCGGTAGTCACTAAAACATGGCAGAACTGCAACACTGCATGAGTTCAGTCCACACAGTAACAAGCAAGGAGAAAGACGGCTGCATGGACCTGTTTACATCGGCTACGGGATTTTCACTGGAAATGACGTATTTTATCTGAACATGCCTTTTATTTTGAAAGTTTCCAGATGTTGTACACAGCTTTTGTGTCTTGCCAGACCTAAACTGCAGAGTTTGAAGCATTTTGGAAGCGTAGCATGTAAAAATAGACTCAAAACACAAAGACAGCGTCCCTTTGCTTCTGGCACGCATCCTAAATGTTCCACTTTGCGGCTGATGAAAGAGACCCGCCCACTATAATGGCTAATTGCAGCGTAGGGTTAGACTAGACCACCTCAAGGCTCAGCAACCTCTGCAGGTATTGTGGATTCATCGGCCGATTAGAGTGTGGCACTTTGAGTCTAGAATATTGAACCTTTTCACAATATTCTGAGATGTTGAATGTGGAGTTTTAATCAGCTGGAAGCCATAAGGAGCCTAAGGTCTAGTCCACACGTAGCCGGTTTTTTTTAAAAACGAATATCCGCCCCTCCAAAAACTTGCATCCACACCACCGCGTTTTAAAACAAAACTGTCCACACGTACCCGGATAAATACGTTGTTAAGGACATGCCAGGCCTGTAGGCGGCAGTACTTCCCCCGTTCTTAACCTCGTCCATCGTCTGTGGTCTTCCGCAAGGAGCAGTAATTCCGCTTGCAAAAACAAACAAGCAAAAAGCGCTTGGACGATTGATAAAGCGAGCGCAGCTCTGAGGGCTTCCATGCTGTCGGCTAGTGTAAACACAGGTCGCACACGTGATGTCAGCATTTTTTTGCCGCGGAAAGTGACGTTGCGGACCTTAAAACTCCGGTTTTGTTCGTCCACACGCAGACACCCAAAACGGAGAAAACGCAGATCTTCACTTTGGCCGGAGTTTTTAAAAAGATCCGTTTTCGTGTGAAAAAACTCCGTTTTCGTGTGGATGACAGGCCAAAACGTAGAAAAATATCTACGTTTTGGCAGATCCCCGGCTACGTGTGGACAGGGCCTAAGTCTCCTCCCTGTCCAGTCGGCTCACGGGTACCCGGAAGCAAGGGCGTAGGAACGAGTTTAACATTGGGGGGGACACATTTTGGAAATCTAACAAATCTGTTGTAGGTCAATATATAGGTCAACTTCACTGAAAAAAATACATTTAATGATTATTTCTGATTCTAACGTGTCACTGAGTGTTTCATGTAGGCTGAACATGAACAAAGTCTCCTACCGCTATCTCCTGCATTAGCTTCTGATAGAAAATCTGATAGACGGTGAAACTCTAGGATTAGAAAAGCCTGACAGATGTGACTCAGGGCATAAGGCAAAGCTCAGAAGGACAAGAAAATAACTTTTATAGCCCAGTTCACTAACATTCTGGTTTTATTGTTTTTGATCAGGGACCCACGAGCCAGCCAGAAGGGGAGGAGACTTAGGCTTCCCATTAGCCAGATCCAGGTGACTACCGGCCAACGTGGACGTTTTAATTATAAAAAAGCTGTTTATGTGTCAGTACTGTTTTATTTTTATTTAATAGTATGAATGTAGGATATATTATCTTATACATATGGGTAGAGATGTGTAAACATATTTAATACAAGACTAAAGCTGTGAATATTCAGTCTGAATTGATCTGACTCTCATCAGAATATTTTAAACTACATCAGCTAACAATGCTGACCAACAATCAGAACAATCTGTTTGATTCTGACAGAATGAAAAACGAAATAATTCACTTACAACAACAGCTGGAACTACATTAATATTCAGACGGACAACAGAAAAAACAGTGGCCAAAATTGCTGTGTAAATGCACCAGAAAGCAGAGTTTAACACTTATTTTTCTAATATTTCTAAGGAAGCGTGTACAGAATGTAATTTATTCTTAAACCATACTGCCCAGCCCTACTTGTTATGGGATTACATACAGTATATTTAACTGTGTTCACTTATTATTACATTCAAATCTTCCTCTCATCAGCAACCTAAAACCATCTCATTCTTCACTGTAGCACCTCAGCAGGTCTGGCTCTCCCTGTCTCACCCTCAGCAGGTCTGGCTCTCCCTGTCTCACCCTCAGCAGGTCTGGCTCTCCCTGTCTCACCCTCAGCAGGTCTGGCTCTCCCTGTCTCACTCTCAGCAGGTCTGGCTCTCCTTGTCTCACCCTCAGCAGGTTCCTGCTGAACTTCATCTGATCTCTAATATAAAAACAGTGGACAGGAATAAGGAGTAAAAACACTGTTGGACGACTAGTGCAATGTTAAAATCATGCTTGTTATAGTATTATTTAGTCGTGCTCACTTGTTATCATGCTCGAATCTTCCTCTCATCATCAACCATCTAAAATCTCACTCCACTGTAGCACCTACCTGCACCTCAGCAGGTCTGGCACTGCCTGTCTCACCCTCAGCAGGTCTGGCGCTGCCTGTCTCACCTTCTTCATCATTTCCTGCTGAACTTCCTCTGGTCTCTTATATGAAAAAAGTGACATGAATAAGGTTTAAAAATGAAATGTGATGAGAATGTCACAAACAAGCAACAATCAACACTTACAAACTCCATTTTTATGTGGAGATTCAACTTTTTTATTTATTTCGTGTCAAATGATTTTGTCTGTTACTGTAAAATTCGCCATTTTTTGTTGACTAGTAGTGTTGTTTAATGTTTAATGCTAACTAGCAAGATGTTTACGCTAGTCAGCCATTTTAGAGTTTGACCAGAAATACAATTATACTCTTGGACTAAATTATTACCAACTCACAATTCCTTTCTTTCTTTTTTTGCCCATGAGAGGGACTCGCTGAGCTGCTACCGTCTGTCTCTGACACCTGTGTCTGCCCCGGCTCTGACTCCTGCTTCACTCAGCCAGCCTGTCTGACTCCCTGAGGGGAGGGGCTGTGTCGGAGAGAAGTCCGCGGTGTCTTTCAAAATAAAAGCTCGCGAGTCAAATATTTCAAAATCAATCTTTTTCTTCTCCATGTCATGGGGGGGGTGGGGGGTGGGACAAATGCGCGTTTGTCCAATATTGGAGGGGACACGTCCCACCCGTTCCCCCCCCCCCCCCCCCCCCCCCCCCGTTCCTACGCCCTTGCCGGAAGAACGAAAAGACTTAATGCAAGTCAACGGGACTAAAAACGTTTCACCTGCTGAAGCGCGTTTCAAAATAAAGCGTTTGTGGCCCGTTAAGGAAAACCATATTGTAAACCCCAAATCTGAAGTGCACCACCCAATTCAACAACTTATCAGTATTATCACTCAACATCCAATTAAACAAAGGATTGCTGTCAGAAAAACTAAATAACCACCCCTGGTTCCTTTATTTTTCTTGTGATTATCTGTTACATATTTTTATTACGATTAGACAAACAGAAACCCCTCCTCACTTAGATCTAACGGAATCAACAACCCGTACAGCGAGGCGCAGCGAGGAAGCGTGCCACGGCCAAGACACTCCCGGTGTGAAAAGGACCGCTTTGAAGTTCGCGAGTGAGCCGCTCTGCTGCTGTTCTGTTCTGCTGATGCTTGCAGTGTGAAACCGGCTTTACACAATAAAAGCACGAGACCAGAAACTGGCGTACACCTGTGCGCAGGTAGCTCCGCCCTCACTGTTGTGTTAAGGTGTGTGTGTGTTATCAGTTACTTTTATTGTGAGGTAACACAGAGACAATGACAGGAAGGACATGTTTGAAGTTTTTAATGAATTCAGACTGAGAAACTCAAAATGCTTATCTAAGCGACTGTCCTTGTGCAGGAAGCCCATGGGTGTGGCCTCCTCAGATGGGCGTGGCCCTCCATTCTTTGCCTTCTGTCAGAGCCCTGGGTTGGTGGACAAAAACACTGAAGCGGACCCCCTGATTGGCTGCAGCTCTGACGAAGCGGTTGTTCGCCGTCATGGTAATGGCCCTAAGAGAGTCGCCAGAACCAAAGATCATGAGCGAACGGCGGTTGACCTTAGCGCTGGGCGTGAGGCGCAGCGTGCGCTCCGATGGCTGGTCATCCACCAAGTGGAGCCGTGCAAGCAGCTTTTGAGCACGCTCCTTCTCGCCAGGCCCGCCCAGTGTTTCCAGGATCACCTGGAAGTCGTGCACAGCAGCACGGCAGGCAAACAGCTGCTTCCCCTCCATGAAGGCGTCCAGCTGCGGCAGAATCTGCTGCCGCCGCTCCTGAGCCGCCTGCTCCGTCAGAACTGGCTCACAGAAGGTAAAATGGCAGCGGCCATGACTCAGCGACGACACATAGGTGATCAGTGTAGTGATGTCCAGATTCACTCTGTTACACTTCTCCACCTGCAGCTGTGATGGAAAAGCCAGGTGCGCTACGACCGTCCCGCGCTCCACCAGGGTTAGCCCTGCTGTCGCTTCCTCGTCTTTCTCCTCAGCTTCCTTGTTAGCTTCAGCGTCGTCCTCGTCCCCTCCAGCCATCTCATGTTCTGATGTCTCCACGCTGCTGACAGCTACGATGTCCCCACGCACCGACAGGCCCATGTCTCGGAGGTGGTCGGCCATGGGGCAGGAGACGCCATTGTAGAAGGCAAAGATGATGTGGGGGTTTTGATACTGCACGGGCTGCTGACGGCTGGCCTGCAGGAACTCCTCAGCCTGACGGATGATGCTCTTGTCCCCATACTGACCCCGCCCCTGCCAGATGTTGTGAAGCGCCTCCGCCTTCCTGCCCACCGCCTTCACCCAGGTGTTTCCCCCATTGGCAACCACGTCCACCACCAGTGTGCGGCGGTGCCCGCTGGTGTCCTGATAAGTGAAGACATGCAACAGGGCCACAACACCCTCCAGACTCTGGGCCGCGTCAATGATGGCAGTCAGGTGGGTCAGGTTGGTGCTGTGCAGGTGAGACTCTTTCACCTGCTGCTGTCCAGCCTCCACCCGCTTCAGGAAGCGTAGTTCAGCACGAAGTTTGCTGCAAAGCTTCTGGTGACCTTCCACACCTGGATAAAGCTGCTCTGCCCTCTGCAGCTGCACCTGGGTGGAGCCAATCCTCTGCTGCAGCATGACCTGCAGGGACATATTTGCTGCATCACCCCTGAGGAGGACACGCACGACGTCTGTCTTCTTTACTGCAGACAGAAACCATGAAGTTGGTTTAGGTTTTTCAATAGGAACTGACTCAACCTGCTAAAAGTTATAGATGATTCAAGAGAAATGCCAGAAGGCTCCTCGAAGAACCCAGGTTCTGTTTGGGTCATGTGGACCGAGACTCTCAAGCTGTTCCACTGAACTTTAATCATGCTAACATGATCTTAACAGGCAGATCACCATGGCAACGTAGTATGACCTGAACTACTAGTTAGAACTGGTGGTCAGACTGAACCTGCTAGTCAGAACCGGTGGGTTAGCAGCTTCTCTCGCCTCTATCAGCCGTTTGTTGACCGGAAGTCTGGCTCTGACTAAGCCGTCTCATTAGAAAGCCGCTCGTAACTGTTTCCGGTTCTTTGTCTGACTTTCAAAGGAAAACAAACCTTTACTAACGTCAGCTGTTGGGTCCGAACCGCACACGAAGCTAATGCCGACTTCCACGTTCTTATGCTCGGCGTACAGGAAATGCGTAACGTTCATGGATATTTTCAGAATAAAAGTTTCTCCTACAGAGGAAAAAAAACATTGGCTTTGTTTGCTCCTCTGGAATCATTCATCTGAGTAGCAAGTATTCTCTGGAGCTGGATTCTCCAGAACCTACTGGTCCAAACCAGAACAATTACTTACCAACACGAAATTATTTTATCGGGGTTTTTTTTCAGCAGAAAGTAGTTTTTTTGTTTTATCTTCATTTATTGCTTGAATTTTTTTTCTTCTTTAAAACAGTTCTTAGCAAAAGGTTATTTTATGTTGTTTATTTGTAAATGTTGATTTGCTGGAGTAGAAAATCAGACTCTCCCACAAACCAAATCCTCCTCTTCTGTGACCATCTGCAGTCAGCTGCAGGATGGGTGAGGAGGTGTGGTTCACTCGATTATTCAACACAGCTGCAATTTTTTATAAATCACATTCAGAATTTTTTCCTTCAAATATTTTAATAAACTATTCATTCGTCTTCAGTAGCTTCAAAATAATTTAGTCAAATACTCCAAACCAATTTCTGGTGCATTCGTCACACTCCAAAGGAATCTTGTCCAAAAGAGAGAATTGTAGTGGAAAACATGTGGCGATGGGTCGCCAGCCAGATGTGTGAAGAATGTTTTAAATAAAAATGATGCAGAAGTGTCTGATGTTGTCTCTGGTCTTCTGTAATTCCTCAGAATAGCTTTTTCCACCTTCCTGGTTCTTGAGATCTCTGAATGAACAGTAAGTAAGCCACCAAGTCACCTTGTGTTCCAATCATCCACACTTTATTTACCCATAATGCACCAGGGGAGAGTCTTTCACCCCAGTCTTTGTGACTAGCCTGAAGATTTTACATGCCCCCCTTTCTCTCCTGCTGCAAAGTCTCATGTTTACACCTCCTCAAACTTTATTGAAGGGCATCACCCGTTGCCTTGGTAACAGACATTCCTCTCTGCCTTCACTCCCTCTTTCAGATGAGTTGAGGACACTCTCCTATCTTTCTGCGCCAAGGCTGCGATGACCCATGCCCTCCCCTTGAACAGCTTTTAGATGATCTAATCTGGCCTGTAGATAATCTCCAGCAGACTGACACTTCTAGCAGTATAAATCAGATCTGATGTAGTGCTTAGGCTTGCACCAGACAGCTGAGTCATCCATACGGTACATGCGCCGTTCAGTTCAAAGGGCCATGACCACCCCAACCCACGGACATCGACATGGGTATGGGGATTAACATTCAGATTAATTATAAGCATTCAGGATTACATATGTGATCAAACCTTATTTTCACAAGAATACAGATGACTAACCATGAAGGTGAATATGTTACATATGTGATAAAACTACAGATTCACGCCTTCGTTGCTTGTTGTTCCAAGCTGCCACTTCTGTTAACTGGGTTGGAGCATTTTTATCCATTTAGCTGGAAGCTTAGAATTTGGTACATTCTCAAATGACTAGAAAAGTGTTGCGGTTCCCAAGTGAGCCATTGCACTGCTGACCGAGTCCTCAGAACACAGCTGGTCTGTCTACACAAGCGTGGCCTGACATCCCATCGCTGTCTGTAGGGAGCCGTGAACCATCAACTCACTTCACCGCCAGCGTGAGACTGGAGGCTCTAGCGGTGAGAGCGTGCGAAGGCGGTCAGTCCGGATGCCTTGGTGTCGGCAGCCCTGCTGTGATGTAGATCTGTCAGGCTTTTCTAATCCTAGAGTTTCTACCAGGAGCTACTGCAGGAGATAGGTGTAGGAGACTCTTTCATGTTCTGCCTCAGAGTGACCCGTTAGAATCAGAACCGCTCTGGTTTTCCAGCGTTCCACACCTTTAAAACTGCTGCTGGATGGTGGTCCGCAGCGGTTCTGGAGCCTACAACCGAAGCTGAAACAGGCTCTGGGTCGGGTAGCTTTATCATCAGTGGTCTCCATCTCCTACCAACCCCACTTTTCCTCTTTCCTATCCATCCATCCTTACATTTTTAACACTATTTTTTTCATTTTAAACATAGTTTTAAATAATTTTTCACATCTTTTTGCGCTTTACGGTTTTTATCTCCAGAGGTTTTCTTTCTTTCTAAAGACTCACCTGATCAGCTGGCTTTGGTGGGACCTCCATCTCCACCCGCTCCTCATGCAGATGTTTCTACCCATTCTGCTGTTCCCGGGATCCCGGATTACATTTTCTTATTCAGTCGACATTTCCTAAATCATTTAGTATATTTTTATAAACTCTAAGTTGCGTGTGAAGAGCCTCGTGATCTTTCTCTACATGAAAAATCCTTTCTTATTTTGAATACAGATCACTGAACCGTTCAGCTGGCGACATTTAACTGGAAACAGATCAATAAAAAATGATTATAGCTTTATTCAGTTTGTTAACAAAAACAATAAATATTGTTTATTGATCAGCTGACAGGAGCTAAGGCACATGAGATCAGGGGACCCACAGAAACAATACACACCTGAGCAGGTAAAATACAAACACATGCTGTGGGTCAGTCCAACCCAGATGCCCCTGATCATACAAGTCTCAGGAGGTCAAAGGTCACAGCGGCTGAAAGAGGTGTAGCAAGAACATATCAGCTCCTCACCGACTTCTTCTTCTGAATGAGTTCAGCCAACATCTTGTAACGAATCATACACTCCTCCTGTAGACACACACACACACACATACACACTAGTCAAGCATGGGGGTGCATGGAGGTGTATAGAGTCCTTGACAGGAGACCAGTCCAACTACTTTACTTTCATATGGGGACAAAATGTCCTTTAAATGGACACTAGGCAGCCTAGTGTACCAAACCAAAACCATCTGCTCGCTGTCGTTTGTCTCGTTAACAATTTCATCTAACAGCTGAAATCTCTCCCAGCGTTCCTGAAGGTTGGTTTATGCTTGACGCGTCCGCACGGCCCAAAGTTTCCGCACCGAGGACATTTTCTAATCCCCCCTGTCTGGCTGTGAAGCAAGCAGAATTGATGTCTGAATGCTTGTAACAAGCCTTACAGATTTACTCTCAGGTGGAGCATCAAAGCTTCTGCTTTTAATGTCAAGCCTGATACTTAAAACTTTATTGTTATTGATTTTGGATGCTTTATAATTCCGACCAGACACGGAGACAGAGGCGAAAGAGAAAGGAAGAGACAAAAGGAAGGGGTGGTGGGGGTGGGGGGGGTGGGGGGGGGTACACAAAAATAAACAACTAATGATGAACAAGCATCTGCTTCTAGACCTGCAGAAAGAGAAAAACAACACACAACAGTACCAAACTACACTGCATCAACTTGATGAGGAAATATAAAATCAACATTGTTTTACTGAACAATCACGATAATAAATCACAGTGTATTTAGTGCCAACCACAGCCTCAAGACATGTGTTGAAAATGCCCAAGTCCACACTTATGAGAGCATCATGTGAGCACCTGTGTGTACACGCGCTTGTATATGTAAGGTTTCTCTATAGGAGCATCCAATGGTGTGAGGGGCCACAGATCTGCCCCCCAAAGATGTGTAGGAGACGGAGGGAGCTCCAAGTCCCAGAGATCCAGGAGCTGTCCCAGAGTGCAGGGACCTCAGGGAGACTGTAACCAGAAAAGCCCCTGCCCCCCTCGAGAAGCGCAGAGGATTCCCCAGGGGGGCCACAACCAGCAGTCGGCAGAGTCCCGGGAGATATCAGCGACAAGCCCACAGGCCCGCCCGCAGCCTCCCAGCCCCAAGCCAGCTGAGCTCGGAGTCCAGCGACCCGGGACCCGGGGGCGACCACCCCTGCCGGGAACCCAACAGAGCCCAGGGACTCAGATCCTTAAACCCCCAGACCCGGGAGCTGCAAACACTCACACAGACCAAGGGACCACACTCCACACCAAATGTGGCAGGGGGAAGGTAGGCGAAGATGTGTTGCAGCACAAGAAGTCCGAGGACAGGGGAGGAGTCAAAGGCCCCACCTGACATATGCAGTCATTCACAAACACAATCACACACTCCCTCCCTCTTGCTCACACACACACATACAACCTAAGACTCACAAAAATGCATGCCAGACACCCACTCATGCTCCCCATACACACCCTATTCACTCTGGTCCTGGTACTGCTTCACAAAGGGGACAACCCTCACCGGTTCCCAGAGTTTGCCCCTTTCTGCTGGGGTGCTGATGAGCAGGCTCCCCCACCCAATGCTGAGCAAAGCAACCCACCACCCCAGACCAAAACCAGACAGCCAGCTCCCCCTCCTAGCCTCCAGCTCCGGGAAGCCAAGCGACAACAGAGGTGTGCTAAGACCCCTAGTGGGCACCAGCACTCGAGATGAGGCAGAAAAATCCCCTTGCCAAATGCCGTTGAGTGTGCTCACTTCCAAGGCCCTAAGTGTATGTTTGCTTGGAATATCATTGATGGAAGTGTTTAAGGTGCAAATAAAATTGGGGGCCAGGTTGCCACAGGAATGTGGAAATGGGATCCATACCCTGACTTGCCCACCCCCCAACGTCCTATGTGCATGATTGTGTGATGATGTGAGGGAGCAGGAGGAGGAAATTGTGTGGGGATGGGGAGGAATGGCTGGTTGGCCTAAGCCCTCCAGGGAGCCAGCTCCTCCACTGGCCCCAATAGGCACCTCCATTCCTAGCCAGGGCCCAAAGCAGCAGCAGTGAAGAGCCCCATAGAGTCCAAGGGCACCAACCCATCCCCACCAGGGCTCTAGACTAAATTTTTGCACTGGTTGCACAGGTGCGCCTAACTTTTTTTTTTCTTAGTGCATCGGAACAAAATTTAGGTGAACCCTAATTTTCTAATGCATTGCAGTTTTATAGATTCACCTTTTGAAAAAACTGTCCATCTAGGTATTGACTCCTAAATGGTTAATTAATCTAGTAAACATTAAGTTCTTTATCTGAAGCTTAACTGTACAAGATGGGTAACCTACAGAAAAAGTGTTAAAACTGCTTCAATTAGCTGAAATTAAAACTGAAAAACATTTTAAGACACGTTCAAATGTTTTACTTTAGTATTTGTCATGCACGTCTCAACCTGAACATTTCATGTGTCTGATGGATGATCTTCCATTGTAGCTCAGATGGACCTCCTGTAGTTAGGCCTCTCCATCTTTGGCCTTGGTTATCTGTAGCATTAATGTAGGAAAATATTAAAATGTACAAAGCTAATAAAATACCTGACCAGTAAACACTCAGAAAATGTTTTAAAAGAGGAAATAGTTATAGTTTTATAGCAACTAAAGTCTCAAAAACTTCTAGATCGAGTATTTTGTAAACGGTGTAGATTTATGGAAAGAGTCAAGCTCATTAAATGTGTTTGTAAAATGTTTTAAATCAAGGGCATGGCGTCATTATTGAAATGTAAACTCAGATGGCGTCTGTGACTGCATTTGAAAGTTAGAAGAGGAACGTGGTAAAACCGATTGTTTTTGTAAAAAAGAGGCGAGGATGATACTGTTTCTTCTCTCTGCTCCTTTTCATTCATATTTATTTTGTGTGTACGTTCTGTTTGCTCTTGTTTTTCTTTTGAATGAAATAAACTTAAGAAAAATGAAAGTTTATCATCATCTTGGCCTCGTCTGATAAATGACCCGCACTTGTATAGCGCCTCTCTGAGTAAGGACTCCAAAGCGCTTTACATTACAGTGTATCATTCATCCATTCACACACACATTCACACACTGATGGTGATGAGCTATGATGTAGCTACAGCTGCTCTGGGGCGCACTGACAGAGGCGAGGCTGCCGAGCACAGGCGCCACCGGTCCCTCCGACCACCACCTAGGGGTGGGAGATAAACTTGTTTTTTTGAATGCATCAAGATACGAACATGAACGATTGTCAATTGGTTTAAAAAACTATATCGATTTTATTAATGACGAGGCGCTAAACGCGGAACTCAGCTAAAAGGAAGTCTGGTGCTTGGAAGGAAAGGTTACAGCTGACTGAGGAATACGGCCAGCACTGCCGACATTAAAGGCAAGCGTAAGGAATTATTTTGGTTTTAACGAGTTATAGGGGAAAAGGGACCTGGACAAAAGCCATACGGTATGCAAGTTGTGTAACACAAAACTGAAATATTTTGGAAACACAACAAACATGAGAAACCACGTTGATCGTTTTCACCCAGAGGAGGAGATGTAGATGCCGGTAGCTGCGGCTGCCGCCTCCAACCAGAAAACTATGGAGCAGGCGTTGTTAAAACTTCCACCAAACTCGGAAAAGGCGAACAGAATTACAAAGCCCATAGCAAGTTTTATCGCGAAAGGTTTGCATCTGTGAGCTATTTTTCAGATTTATATTTTAGTTTCTCTAGTTTGGTGTCTGTCATTGAACCACAGGGACACGTTCAGCGTCGCTAGGCCCCGGCTCCTGGAGAGCTGCTGCTGCTCTCATAAAGCAGAGAGGGAAGCATCTCCTGCTCCTTTGTTCACTTGTTCATAGACTTTGTTGCGGCCCATTAAGAGTATCTCACTGTGTCTGTTGTTGAAGCACAGGAAGACTTTTTGATACAGTTTTTTTTGTCTTCGAACAGCTGGCCACACCGGTGCAACCTAGGATATTTTTTAGTCGCACCTTTGAGTCTGGAGCCCTGCCAAGGTCTACCTGAGGCTCCTGAGCCTGGGCCAGGCACTGCCGCATGTTCTTGCCTTCTTCCCGGCAGCATACATGTCAGGACCCGACCCCCATGGCCCTGCCCAGATCCCCACATGGAGCCGGCCATATATTTATATATAAGCCTTAATAATCGGCTTTAGATATCGGTCATCAGCAACTAAATTCTTTAAAAATTGGTATCGGCATAAAAAAAAACATATTGGTTGATTGCAAGTGTGATATTTTGACCACAGGAGGCGATGGGGCTGGGTGAGCTTTCATTAGCCCTGTAAAGGATCGTTTTAGCTCATATTGGCTCAAGAAAAGGGTTTAAAAATACATAAAAGTTGTAAAGTATGACTTTAATCAGCTGTAGTAAAGGAAGCAAAGCCACCAGAGGCTGTAGAGCTACATGGAAGATGGTCCCTGAAAACAACAGCTAGGCCTCCACCTTGACCAGAACCTCGGGGCTGGCTAAGAAAAGAATAACCATTCAGGCAGAGTTCGATCAGACCAGAATAATCAGATGTTTGCTGCACAGAAAGTCCAGGTCTTTAGAGAGAATTGGATTATTGAGCAGGAAGGACTTGTTAACAGAGCGGGTTTTAATAGAGCCGTGCTGAGTGAGGTGGAGGAATCAGAAACGACAGAAACAGCTGGAGTTAGTGGACGTAGATTAGCAGGGTTAGATCCACGATGTTTATAAAGACCATTCATGGAGGGAACAGGAGGAGAAACCACTGAAGGATGAGGATAAACAGTCCTGAGGAAACATCGATGGAGGAACAGCAGCACGGCGGGGAGGGAGAAGCAGAACTCCCATTACGAAACAAGAGACGAAGCTAGGAGATTGAGCTCATGTCCACTAGCTAAACCACACAAGCCTCATGCTGCTTCCACATCTGGCCGGGTCCGGTTTGGGCTGGGTGGCATCGGTACACACACGCACGCACGCGCACACACACACACACACATACACGCACACGCGCGCACACACACACACAGAAACCTCTGAGCATGTGGTCGTGGCAAAAGAAAAAGTCTTTGGTCTCTCCCTTAAATTAAACAAAGACATGTGCCATGTCCACACAAGGACAACCCCTACTTGGTTCAGAGGAAGAGTGTGAACTACCCTTTAGTTTATGTTAGGGTTAGGGCAGTCACCAAAATGAATGGAAGTCAATGACGGGCCCTCACAAGTGTAGATATACCAACATGCGTGTGTGCTCCTCACAGCACCTCTCAGTGAGAGCCAGAGATGTTTACTCCTTATAACCAGAATTATGGTGAAGCCGTCGCCGGCAGATTCTACCCACCAATCAGAGGCTCCTCCTAAAAGTAGGTGTGAATTTGAGCCGGCCAATCAGTCGGCAGTGGGTGTGTTGGACCAGTTCAGCCCGAAGCAGACCGCCTTGGGAAGAGGGCTGGAAAAGCAGGCTACCCAGATGTGAACACCTACCATACCCCAACCCGTCGTTTAGGGTTAGGGTTTGCTCTGTTCTTCTGTTGCCCCGCCCACGTGCTCAGAGACATCATGGCGTGCACAAAACCTGGCTGCGCGGGGGCGGGCCAACACTACCAAGACCGGAGCGGGCCAGGCCAGATGTGAAAACGTCTCCAGGTTTCCATCCAGCTGCGTCAGCGTGTGGAGAGGTCCCACAGCAGCAGCTGGTTCCTGCATGAGAACCTGTTTGGAACCGCTCTAACAGACATGATGAAGTGCTATGAGCTCATGGATCATGCACAACATTTATTTTGAAATCAGCCACTCAGCACCTGGAAGTCTAACCCTGTCCAATCACATCCCTTATTGAGCTCCGAAGGAGGAAGTTTTAGTGGTTCTACAAGACAGCCCATCTCACCTTGGTCTTTCCTGGAACCACCTTGGCGATGCGATCCCAGCGCTCCGAGGTTCCTCTGGGGAACTGTTGCAGAGCCATTTCCAACAGTTTTTGCTGGTTCTGAGTCCAGACCACAGCGTTCCCCCTCTCTTTGTTCTCCTGTGGTTCTGCCTCCTCCTCCTCCACCGCGTTTGGGTTAAAATCTCTCTGCCGACGACCTCTGACCTTCACCTCTCCATCTTCTGCTGGTGAAGGCTTCTTGTTTCTCCTTCGGACTAACGGAGCTACATCCACCTCCTCATCATTCTGCTCCTCCTGCACACAGGCTCCGCCCACATCCTGAGCCATTAAACTGTCATCAACAGAACGATGAGGGTCCTTTAGGTCAGAGAGCTTCACCAAACCTGAAACATCACAGAAACGAGGAGCTTCACCAACTGAAGGCAGAGCACAAACCCAGATGAACTGCACCAAAACCCGGGATGACCAAGTAGAACCTGGACAGAACACCCTGGTCCTTCAGGAGAACCTCTAAAACAAACCAGAGATGTGGTCTACCTGAGGTGGGGCTCACGCTGTCTTTCACTTGTTTGACTTTAGTCGTCACCTAGAGAAGAAACCAGAAGCAGTCAGGAGGGTCTGAAGGTCCTCAGAGGACCGCCAGCTTTACGTAGCAGCAGAGATATCTGTGGACCTCTTCAAAGGTCAGTTACAATCTGTCCACCACTTCATACTTACATCAGAAACTGATCGTCCAAGTTCATGAGCGATCTTCTCCCACCTTCCAGGAGTTCCTCCTGGGATTTTAACCATCAACCTGCTGAGGAGACTCAGCTCCTCCTCTGTCCAGTCTGCCACCTGCAGACACATGAAATGGGCTCTAAGAGAGGAACTGGTATGATGTCATAAGATGTTTATGTTGGAGTAAAATGGAGCCAGTTCTGGGTCCAGGTCTAACACCTGGTCCGATGATCCTGACCATGCTACTCTAAAACATCACACCTTCTTCTTGGAAGCTCTGCGATCCTGCAGCCAGTTGTCCATCTGATCTTCGATCTCCTCAATGGATGTAGTCTGCTCGTATCTCTGGGAGTCTGGAGCTTCTGGAGATGGTTTGTAAATGGGGAACTCCATCTTAGGCTTCTTGACCTTTGGTCGTTTTTCTCCTGCAAACACAACAGCAGGATTAAGGTGGTCTTTAGATCTTTGATCACTTTGTGAAACTGCTCCAACTTCAGCTGCAAAACTAAAGTCCAACCAGGACATCCATCCCAGAGCTCGTACCAGGTCATGGACCAGGACCCAGAGAAGACGAACAAGGAAAACATCTTTACTTATCGTAACTTCCTCTTCAGCTTCAGCCTCCTCCTTCTGCAGCTGCTTCATCTGCTGGTAGTCTTCGTAGTACTGCTTCACCTCCTGGAAGACACAAACCAGGACTAGGGCTGAACCATCTACTGGTTTTGGACCCAAAGTGATCACATGCCGTTTTTAGCACTCCTGACTGATCCAGGGTTTTCCCAGAGCGCGAGGGAAACTGGTACCGGGGCTGGGCCCGGCTGACAGAGCCACTCGTCTCTGCTGATAGGCTCTTCATCAGTGGTGGCTTTAAAACGAGGCTGAAGACTTTTAACTCTGTGGGTTTGCTGGTAGTTTATATCAGGGGTACTCACATACAAGTCTGCAGGGTCAAAGGTCAATCAGCACGTCTTAATACAGTTAGTTAGAACACAACTCGCCCTAACCTTTCCTCTTTAAACATGTTCTAGCAGTTTCTGTGCAGGAACACCTTCATGCACAGCCGAGGAACTCCAGGCACAAAACTGTGGACGTGGACTACCAGCCACTTTCTGCTGTAGCGTCTGAGAGGACCTGTCCTGTCCTCTTTCCGTTTGTCTGCTTTCATCTCTTCAGCCAGACGTTCTATGATCCATCAGCTTCCTACAATGACTTCACTGCATTTATTTTTGCTGTTTTTACGTCGGATCTGCTTGGTCTCATAACATATCACACAGGAAACCTGGATCACTGAAGAGGTCTTTGTAAACTAAGCACATGGATCTGGTGCTGGATGGTCCACTCATCTTTAAACTGTCTGTTTATATTGTCCACTTTTCTTTTAGGGAGAATTCAGATCACACCATTTCCATCTGAATGACTGCAGAGGACTAATCAGTGAATGGGCTGGTCCAGAGCTGGAGCAGATGAGCAGCGGTGAGCGACAGACCGTGTTAGAGCATGAAGAAGACTGAACCGTTGCTCTGCTGTGGAGCTGACATGGGCAGCAGTCCTCCTGGTGTTATTTAAACAGGGCGTGCACAAAATAACGCCTCAGTGGCTTGAGGGTGGAAAGTGGAGGTTTGCAGTCCGGACCCGGCCCGCAGGCCGCCTACTGAGGGGTACGGTTAAAGTCCCATAGTCATCATCACACTACGGCGGCAACAACAAATCAACTAAATTTATAAAAATTGATGACGTCATTGATCGGTTGTGCTGTGCAACTTTTTCGTGTTGCATAACCTTCATTTACCAGTCCGTGCACCCAGCTCAAGTGTAGGAGGCTTCAGATCAGAGCGAGGCAGATCAGAGCGAGGCAGACCAGAGCGAGGCAGAGCAGAGCGAGAAAGGCCGGTGTTTTGATGAGGAACGACCCACTTAGGACAGTAAATTACTGACGCACCATGAGCTGATGGAGGTGGTGTGGAGGAAAACAGAAACCAGCAAAGACTCAAAGGGTTTGGGATCTAAAGCGTAACTACTGGCAGATTAGCTCATGCTAGCGGGTAGCAGGCTCACGACCAAGTGGGGTTCCCAACAAACACGATGCTCGTGAAACTAAGAACATCTAAACTCTACAAGCGGATGAAAAGTCCTCACCATCCTGTTTATTCTTAGCTGGCTGCAGCGCTACGGAGCAGAACTGCTGTCAGGTTCAAGTCTGCTCAGCTAAACACCGCTGCAGGATTACGGCAAGCCACTGTAGCATAATTCACAAACGTGCCTATCTGTGAAGATCATTTTAACTGGATTATTGCCAAACTAGCTAATACAGGGTGGGCCGTTTCCATGGATACACCTTAATAAAATGGGATGGTTGGTGATATTCACACATTAGTTTATGTGAGAGGGCAAACTTTTCAAGATGGCTGCGGACAATGGTGGCCATTTTGGATCCAACTTCTGTATTGGTTAGTCCTATACTCTAAGTACTTGTACTTTGTATTTGTGGTCAGGACTGGTGCAAACTAGGCCCACTCACCTGGACAGTCTGAGGCAGGTGTTTGATGGACAGGTAGAGCCAGATGCTCAGCTTCAGAGGGAGGATGTCCTGCCAGTGTGGTCGCTCCTGGGATCTAAAACAAACAGCACTAAACAAACCAATAAACAGGAAACTAGGAAGGATGATGTAACCGCCTTACCTGTCACTTCGTTCATGACCTGCACATCTGAGTTCCTCTGCAGGTCTGGAGCTCAGCTTCTTTTTCTTCTCCTTTTTTTTCTTACTTAACAACTCATCCTGCAAACACATAGATCAGGTCACATGACAGTCTGTGATATGATTGGCTGTCCAAGCCCAACCGTGCTGATTGGCTGCTTCACCAGCTGCTTCTCCAGGTAGATGGACCAGATGACAGCATAGTGTCCCACGGTGAGGATGAAGAAGAGCAGCAAGCCCAGCTCTGCATTACTCATCTTCCTCACTCGTCTGTAATAGAAAACTGGCTGGCGCCAGTCCGGAAGCCCGTTCACGAGGATGTCATCATACCTGTAAACAAAACACCTCCTGAGCTACAGACACCTGCTCTCAGCTCTGATTGGCTAAAAGGGAGTGGATGAACTCACCTGTGTCTTCTGTCTTCATCTTTCAGAACTTCATAAATGGACACGAGCTGAAATCAATCAATCAATCAATCAATTAGCTTTTATTTGTATAGCGCTTCCCCCTCCTAAAGGGGGACCCAAAGCGCCGAACAGCACAAATAAAACATAGAAACAAGACACCAATAAAACTAGGATAAAAAAACATTGATAATAGCAAACTAAATAAAAACAATTAAAATCTGTTAAAACCAGTCACCGAACAGATTAGGTGAAAGCCAGACAATTAAAATGAGTCGTCAGGCGGCCCTTAAAGCAGCCAAAGATGGAGGCAGCTTAATGCTAAGAGGTTACTTGGTCCAGAGGGGTGGGGTTAAAACAGAAAATGCCCTATCCCCACATGTCCTAGACCTGGAGGGAGAAACAGTCAGCAGGAACTGATCTGCAGAGTGCAGTGACCTTGAGGGTATATGTCTTTTTAACAGATCTCCAAGGTATGGGAGGTGGGCACTGCCCTGAAAAAACTGATGGACAAATAAAAGGAGTTAATACCCATAGGAGACCGGAAGCCAATGGAGCGTTTCCAGCACAGGAGTAATACGGTCCCATTTCTCAGACCCCGTCAGAAACCTGGCTGCACTGGACCCAACCCAGTGTAGTTACAGTAATCCAGCCTTGACATCACAAAGGCATGGAGTACTCGCTCCAAGTGGGTCCGTGACAGCAACGGCGTCATTTTAGCTAGGCAGGAGCATACCACCAGGTTGATATGGGCGTTACATTTTAATCCAGAGTCAATCCTAATCCCAAGGCTAGTGACAACTGGTTTCTGACATGGAGCAAGAATATCCAGGTCAGATATAGTGCCCAGGTCTGACCTAGGTCTCAGGTGAAAGATGATGAGCTCCGTTTTATGCTCATTACCATGCAGATAGTTAGCAGCTAACCAGGACTTGACTTCATTAACACAGTTAACCAGAGTCATAACAGAGGCACCATTCCCAAGACATAGTGGTGAGTAGATCTGGCAGTCATCAGCATACAGGTGAAACTCATCACCATGGAAGTTGGACCCCAGCGGAAGCAAAAAAATGGCAAATAGGAGTGGACCAAGAGTTGAGCCCTGTGGAACCCCAACACAGAGCCTCCCAGGAGGAAAGAACTTCCCCCATTTTCACACAAAACCTCCTACCATGGAGGTACGACCGAACCATTCTAGCGCTGACCCTGAGATCCCCACCCACCGCTCCAACCGATCAGACAAAATATCACGTCAACAGTATCAAAGGCAGCAGATAGCTCTAATAACAGTAGTGCCACAGAGAAACCCTTATATAAGGATACATAGATGTCATGTAAACCCTGAGTAAGGCTGACCTGTGCCCAGACCTAAACCCTGACTCAAACACCTCTCATATATCAGAGCCCAACAGATCAGACTCCAGCTGCTGGAAAAGACATGTTTGTTGTTGTTTAACTGGTGGGTGATGGGCTAGGGTCAGGAGAGGTCATACGTGGGCTAGGGTTAGACCATGATTTCATACCTGTTGTTGTTTCTCACCTGTCTAAACTGTGTCTCAGCATTTTCATCCTTGTTCTTGTCAGGATGCAGCAACAGAGACAGTCTGCGGTAAGCCTTCTTTACCTCTGCTGCTGATGCATCCTAGGAGTCACAGGACAACACGGCACAGGTGAGACATTATACCCACATACACATACATGTACTCTTATAGACAGACAGGCAGATAGATATGTGTGCATGAACTTAAAGGTCCAGAATAAAATTAGACATGTGACGTGACAGGGTGAGTGTCGCTGTAACCCGATTGGCTACTTGGCCAAGGGGACGTCCCTTTGGCTAACTGGTTAGCTTGATCTCACCCAGATGTGGTGAAACTAAACCCTCGTCTACATGCAGACACAAACGTCTTCTTACAGCATCATACCCAGTCTTCCTGGTGTAACCACCTGTAGGCCACTTTTAATAAATTATCAATAGAAAATAAAGATGTTCAATAAAATGCAATATTCCATAAAAACATGGACTCAGAAAGGTGTGATGTCGTCATCGTCGTCTTCCTCCGCTTATCCGGGTCCAGGTCACGGGGGCAGCATCCCAACTAGGGAGCTCCAGACCGTCCTCTCCCTGGCCACCTCCACCAGCTCCTCCGGCAGGACCCCAAGGCGTTCCCGGACCAGATTGGAGATGTAACCTCTCCAACGTGTCCTGGGTCGACCCTCCCCAGGGAGGCGACCAGATGCCCAAATCACCTCAACTGACTCCTTTCGATCCGGAGGAACAGCGGTTCTACTCCGAGTCCCTCCCGAATGTCCGAGCTCCTCACCCTATCTCCAAAGCTGAGCCCGACCACCCTACGGAGGAAACTCATTTTGGCCGCTTGTATCCGCGATCTCATTCATTCGGTCATTACCCAAAGCTCATGACCATAGGTGAGGGTTGGGACGTAGATCGACTGGTAAATCGAGAGCCTGGCTTTCTGGCTCAGCTCCCTCTTCACCACGAGAGATCAGCTCAGCGTCCGCATCACTGCAGATGTTGAACCAATCCGCCTGTTGATCTCCCGATCCCTCCTACCCTCACTCGTGAACAAGACCCCGAGATATTTAAACTCCTCCACTTGAGGTAGGACCTCTCCCCCGACCCGGAGTTGGCAAACCACCCTTTTCCGGTCGAGAACCATGGTCTCAGATTTGGAGGTGCTGATCCTCATCCCAGCTGCTTCACACTCGGCCGCGAACCTACCCAGCAAGAGCTGAAGGTCAGAGCTGGATGAAGCTAGGAGGACCACATCATCCGCAAAAAGCTGAGACGAAATTCTCCTGCCACCAAACTCGACACACTCCACACCACGGCTGCACCTAGAAATTCTGTCCATAAAGGTAATGAACAGAACCGGTGACAAAAGGCAGCCCTGGCGGAGTCAAACCCTCACCGGGAACAGTTCCAAATTACTACTGGCTATGTGGACCAAACTCATGCTCCTCTGGTAAAGGGACTGAATGGCCCTTAACAGAAAGCCATCCACCCCATACTCCTGGAGCGTACCCCACAGGGTGCCCCTGGGGACACGGTCATAAGCCTTCAAATCCACAAAACACATGTGGATTGGTTGGGCAAACTCCCATACCCTCTCCATCACCCTTGCAAGGGTATAGAGCTGGTCCACAGTTCCACGGCCAGGACGAAAACCACATTGCTCCTCCTCAATCTGAGAGTCAACTGTCGATCAAACCCTCCTCTCCAGTACCTTGGAGTAGACCTTTCCAAGGAGGCTGAGGAGTGTGATCCCCCTATAGTTGGAACACACCCTTCGGTCACCCTTCTTAAAGACGGGGACCACCACCCCGGGCTGCCACTCCACAGGAACTGCCCCCAATGACCACACAATGTTGCAGAGACGTGTCAACCACGACAGCCCCACAACATCCATAGCCTTGAGATACCAAGGACGAATCTCATCCGCCCCCGGGGTTCCGCCGCTGTGTAGTTGTTTGACTACCTCAGTAACTTCTGCCCCCGAGATTGGACAGTCCATCCCCAGGTCTCCCGGCTCTGGTTCCTCCTCGGAATGCGCATAGGTGGGATTGAGGAACTCCTCAAAGTATTCCTTCCACCGCCCGACTATAGCCCCAGTTGACGTCAGCAGCTCCCCATCCCCACTGTAAACAGTGTGAGCGAGTTTCTGCCTTCCTCTCCTGAGGCGCTGGACAGTTTGCCAGAACCTCTTTGGAGCCGATCGATAGTCTTTCTCCATGGCCTCACCAAACTCCTCCCACGCCCGAGATTTTGCCTCGGCAACTGCCACTGCTGCACCCCACTTGGCTATCCGGTACCTGTCCGCTGCCTCTGGATACCCACAGACCAGCCACGCCCTATAGGCCTCCTTCTTCAGCCTGACGGCTCCACGAACCTCTGGTGTCCACCAGCGGGTACGGGGGTTGCCACCATGACTGGCACCGGCCACCTTGCGACCACAGCTAGCAACAGCCGCCTCAACAATCGCAGAGTGGAACAAGGCCCACTCGGAGTCAATGTCACCCACCGCTCTCGGGATGCGGTCAAAGCTCTGCTGGAGGTGGGAGTTGAAGACTGTCTTGACAAGTTCTTCTGCCAGGCGTTCCCAGCAGACCCTCACTATGCGTTTGGGTCTGCCAGGTCTACGCGGCATCTTCCCCTGCCATCTGATCCAACTCACCACCAGGTGCTGATCAGTTGACAGCTCCGCTCTTCTCTTCACTCGGGTGTCCAAAACATACGGCCACAGGTCAGATGATACGACTACAAAGTCTATCATCAACCTGCGACCTAGGCTACCCTGGTACCAAGTGTACCGATGGGCATTCTTATATTCGAACATGGTGTTTGTTATGGCCAAACTGCGGCTTGCACAGAAGTCCAATAACGAAACACCACTCGAGTTCAGATCAGGCGGGCCGTTCCTCTCAATCACACCCCTCCAGGTCAAGTGGTCATTGGCCACGTGAGCATTGACGTCCCCCAGCAGGACAATGGAGTCCCCTGATGAAGCACTATCTAGCACTCGTCCCAGGGACTCCAAAAAGGGTGGGTACTCTGAACTGATATTTGGCCCATAAGCACAAACAACAGTCAGGACCCATTCCCTGACCCGAAGGCGAAGGGAAGCTACCCTCTCATTCCCCGGGGTAAACCCCAACACACATGAATGGGCCATTCCCATCTGTACCGGGTCGGCCCGGGCCGGGTAGCGTAGGTTGTTTACATATCTGGGTGGCCTGGTATTTTTCCGGGCCAACCAAGGCTCATTCTCAACCCTCTTCTCGAGGGAGTCTGCTTCAGGCCGACCAGGGCCGACACACCCACTGCTGACAGCAAATTCACACCTTCCATTAGAGCAAGCCTCTGATTGGTGGGTAGAATCAGCCCATTCACACCTTCCATTAGAGCAAGCCTCTGATTGGTGGGTAGAATCAGCCCACATGGGCTTAAGACAAGGATGTGTGGAATCAACCGGGCCAGGCTGGGGCCGACTGGGGCTACCCGGCCCGGGCCGACCCGGTACAGATGGGAATGGCCCAAAAGAGAGTCTTGGGGCTAACAAAAAGCTAACCCCAGCCCTCCGCCTCTCAACCGGAGAAACACCCCCTCTCAAGGACTTGGGTTCCAGAGCCAATGCTATGTGTCGAGGTGAGTCTGACTATATCTAGCTGGTACCGCTCAACCTCTGCCACAAGCTCCTGCTCATTCCCTGCCAGCGAGGTGATGTTCCATGTCCCAAAAACCTGTTTCCTTGTCCGGGGATCGGACCGCCAAGGCTCCCGCCTCGGTCTGCCACCCGATCCACACTGCACCGGACCCTTCATGTCCCTCCTGCGGGTGGTGGGTCCACAGTTGGATGAGCCCATGTATCTGGTTCAGGCTGGGCCCGGCCGGGCCCCATGGGCAAAAGCCCGGCCACCCGGCGCTCGCTCACTGAACCCAACCCCAGGCCTGGCTCCAGGGTGGGACCCCGGTAACCCTCCGGGCCGGGTACTCCGACTCTTTGAATTTACATCAATGAAAGATCCTCTGAACCGTTCTTTGTCTCAACCTTCACCTATGACCAATTTGTCATGGGAGACCCTAGCAGGGGGTACAAAGTACCCCAGACAACATAGTTCCTAGGATCATCAGGGCACTCAAACTCCTCCACCACGATAAGGTGACGGTTCAAGGAGGTGTGATGTCTGGTGTATTAAATAAATCTAGTTGTTTGATGTAATTTAACAAGTTATCAGATTAATATCAACCACTCTGATGACACTGAAGATCGTAGACACCCTCAAACACAACTGGTCAGAAGATACTTCCCAGGTGGCTTCTGGTGGACGGTTTCATGTCTGATGAGTGGATGATGGATTGAGTCAATAGACTGATCTAAAAAAAGGATGGTTCATATGCTGCTAAAATTATTCCACTGAATAATCTGGTTTAATCTCCATAGGATGGTCATTTAGCATGAGCTGTGAGCTTTTGGTGAACTCGGAAATCTGGCTGAACTGGGGAACGTAGGAAGTGATTCACTTTTAATGAAATGGTTGTTTTTTAATCTTTGGCCAACCAGATGTGATAAACGTGTCTAGGTGTTCACCACGACCCTCAGACACTCAGAAGAGCCTGGTTCCACTTAATGTGGAGTAAATCTGTTAATATACTGATATTAATATGAATGTAACTGATAATTAATAATTATTATCATTATTATTAATCATATATCATCAAGTAGACTAATTTAGTGTATTTAAGATCTGAAATAAGTCATGACATAATAAACATGTTGATTCATCATGAAATCACTTCAGATAGAACATTCACTTGCTCATTTTGCTCATTTTAAATATATTTTTAAACATTTTCTAAATGCTTTTTTATATTTTTACATTTTTGTTTTTGTGAAGCGCCTCGTGATTTTTATCTTGAGAGGCGCTATAGAAATGATATTTTCTTCTTCTTCTTCTTCACTGCAGAAAACACAGATTATGACCGTAAACCTGTAGACTGAAATAAATCATTTTATGAGACTAAATAAGAAGGACTTTATTAAAAGAAGTCTCGTCTCCTGGACCTTGGAGCTGCAGCTTCTAGTGAATAGTGGCGGAAAAGAAGTCAGGCGATGGAATTGT